ATGTTAATCAGTCATACGTGAAGTAGAACCTAGGACCTCATTAGCACAACGAGATGGAGTTGCTTAAACAAATACCAGAGTAGTACAAATAATAACACTATTCGTCATGATAGATACGATTCGAAAGAAAATATGGATTGGTGATAGAGAAAGAATGAATGCACATGTGCTATTGTGGTGGAATTAAACGAACAAGACTTTCAGGATAGATAAAATGAAGTTGTTTAAAAATATATGTGTCAACTTTATAGGTTAAGGTAGAAATTTTAATATCACTATTGTAGTGGCTTCCTTTGTATTACACAACTATGCGATTTACTTTTAAACAGATGAATTATTCTGATCTTTTTACGTATTTTGTCATTTATATATGTGACTTTGAGCATGTGTCGAAATGTTTGCGTTTTTCTTTCATGCCTTTGATGGAGTTTCGTTCTTTGAGCTGGACATTTTACTTACTTACTTACTTACGCCTGTTACTCCCAATGGAGCATAGGCCGCCGACCAGCTTTCTCCAACCCACTCTGTCCTGGGCTTCCTTTTCTAGTTCTATCCAGTCCCATCCCACAAGTGCATTTCGTGCTTCTTTGGACAGCGTTAGAGCAACTCCCTGAGTGTGTGGAGCATTTTCCCCTTCGTGACCGGAGTACAGCAGCATCTCTCCTGTACCTAGCCTTTGTTGTCCAGTTTGTGTCCAATGGGTTTCGCTGATTCCGAGTACTGCCAAGTTGTATCTCCTCATTTCCATTACTATTTGACTGGTCTTTCCTGTCTCCCACATTGTCCGGACGTTCCATGTACCTATGAAGAGTGTTGCTCTGGTTGTTAGAAGGTGCATCGGTCTCGTGACTTCCAAAGATTTCGGCTTTCATCATGAGACGTCATAATTATTCCTTCAACTCCCAGGGCAGAGTTTAAATGGATTGAATTATTTTTTCTGGTTAGCGTTTTTTTTAGCGAGTTAGCTTTTCTACGGGATGGGGTCGCTAACCCCATGCCCAACCCTCCTCCTTTACCCGGGCTTGGGACCGGCAGTAACTCTAGAAGAGCTAAAGGCGGCAGCTTTCACCGTTCCTCTGAACAACATCATCAGCACAAACTTCGGATATAAGTGAAGTGTTCGATTTTCTCCACATATGGCTCACAGCTTGTCCTGTAGTCCTCAATGTTGATTGGTTATTGTTAACCTTTAAACTGTCATTGCTTACTTCTTTATTTTGGTTGTATCTCCCATTAATTTGATTTCTGGTCCTGTATTTGTCTATTATGTTTCTGAGTGGTTGATAAATTAGATCGATTTTAATGTGTTTGTTCATTGCTGATTGACCTGAGTGCCAAGATTCTAGAAAATCCCTGATGTTTTTACAATTGCCTCAATCCAAGATCTCAACATATTTCTAGTCGAATGTAAGTCCATGGTTGCCACATGCATTCATATAAGTGAGGATACGTCATTAGGTTTGACCGCTAATTGATGTTCATGCAGGCGAAGATCAAGAGGGCGTTCGCTTTGTCATTCATGACTATAAATATTGTCATGCTTTCATTACATTGAATAAGGACATCTGACTTCGCTTATTATCACTTAGACTGTCTACCGAAACGAATACATGAAACAGAAATATCTGAAACATTCAGATTCAACTTTTTAAATATTCATTATTATTAAAGTGATTTACCAATAGAACATGTATGATGTAGGTAGGATCTACATTTCATCTGCATTAACAACCCGATCACTATGAAGTCAGACTAGGACTAACTAAAGTATTCCGATATTTGAATTTCAATTCATGTTACACTCATTAGCCATTAAATTTAAACAAATAATTAGTAATACTTGTAGTCTAGGTCATTAAAAATATTTCCAAGTCCGGGAATGTTTACGAGAAGAAGTAAATAGACCACAAAAAAGTTTAGATATTAAAAATGTTTTGCTAAACTCTCTTTCTCTCTCTCTCCCTATATATATATATATATATATATATATATATATATTAATATGGCAGTAATTCTCTGTCCAACAATATTATAACTAGTGGGGAAAATAAGGAACTACAGTTCAATTGTATGTGTTCAAGCAAATAATTATTATTGATTGAAATACAATAGTAGAAAAATGTTCCACTCTTTTCACGATAGTCGTTTTAATTATGGGAGAAAATCGAAAAATTGAAGGTCGATTCACAACCTACGTAGTAATCATAACCTATTCGCTACTAGTTTAGCTCAGTTGTCACAGTGACGAGTTGAAGGTAAAATATCCACTCTGCAGTTTAGATATCTCCATTTTTACTAAGAAATTTTACTAAAGCTTCTTAACTGAAAACATTTATAAGACATTTTTATAAAATATTTCTAGTAGAAACTGAAATATAGAAATTATTATCGTAACATAACATTATTTTGTGTAAGGATTTTATAATTTGAGGAATGAAATTCCGTTATGTTATGTTGGGGAAAGAAAACGAATTTGCTTGATCGGAATGTGTGTGGTCGAGATGTAATGACAACCATGCAGTTGTATGATTGCTCTTCCTCTCTCACTTTTTCCTCAGTTAGTTTACTTATATTGTCAGTAGGATCAGTCACCTTCTAGTTACCGATCAACGTACATCGACCAATGAACAAAAATCAAAGTCTTAATTTGTCTTATAATCCAGCGATCAATCAGAAGACGAAGACTCAATCGCAACTGGAAACTCAAACAATAGTATGCTTGAAATATCTGACCAAGTCTACATAGCTTAGTCAAACCGATATGACACTAGAGTAGATGAAGAGTAATTAATAATAAATTTGGAATGATCATAAGCATGACAACGATTCATGAATCAAACGAAAGCATAAAAAGAGAATATAAAAAAAACAGTAGTCTAAATGTCTGTTAACTATAGAATTAAAATATAAATAATAATCATACGTACGATAATCCCACAAGTTTTAATATTATACTACTCGTCTCAATACATTAAATAGAGTGCCGATTAACAAAGGAAATGTAATAATACAATGTGGCCGTGAAGTGATGGTTGTTCATCTGGCCAAGTAATCGACAAAAGCCCTTATTTATTTAATTAAACATATAAATATTGGTACAAGGGTGAACCAGATATATATGCGCCACACAAATCTCATTTGATTTGTGTCAGGGCTGTGATACTGCTCAGGTGCCCAAACTGACGCATGTGATTTTCTTAGGGGCCCACACCTGGAGCCTTTGATCCAAAGGTCTGATCCACAAGGCAGTGGAGCATCGTAAGGAGATGCAGTTCTATGGCAGCCGGTGACCAACGATTGATTCATACGCCATTTTTGCCCTCAGGATACTGGAGCCTATGTGTGGCATTGATTTGGAATCAGGGTTTTCCAACCACCCTAGGTGGACCCTCCATGTTCACCAACACGGTTAAAGCGCCGGACATTTGCTTTCCATCCTCTCAATTTCGTAAACAACATCTCCGCCAGGAAAAGGCAGTGAGTAGGACTTCCTTGGCAGAGGCTATATACGAGTGGCCATGTTAGAGAATTTCGTGTAGGAGAGCGGACTTTCCCCACTCTCGGCTGTACCAAGACATTCGGGGGTAACATAAGCCCTTAACTGAACTGATATTAGAGGATAAGACAAATAATTAGTTGAATAGCTCTTTCTTCTAATAAAACTACACGCTTACATGCAAACTATTGAATACAAGAATAAATAAGACTTAAAGTTATTTAACAAGTAGACGATGGCAATTATAAGCTATGCATTATCTAATAGAATTAATACTCAAATATTAGGCTTAATTCTTATTTCTATCATACCATTTATCTTAAATGTAAAATAGCTGGACATTTATTTTATTTTGTTGATTAATTGATGCATTTTAACTTAAAACACTGACCGGTAAGATATAAAATCAAGATATCATTTTTTTTTATTATTAAAGTAAGTAATGAGCAATACGATTTACCTTTTTAATAGCTACTAATTGTCCATTTCTATTATTATCTTGAGCTAAGAATACATTAGCGAATTGACCTTCACCAAGATAACATACTTTTTCATAACGAGAATTTTTACTAGTTTCATCTACAAATATATCCATGCTAAAGTTGAATTACAAGAAGAAGAAAAAATGACTAACATTATGTAACAAATTTACGTGAATCATGAAACAAGTGAATCAAAATAAGTGGTAACATTTTGGTATACAACAAGTATATTTGCATTATCTATATTGGTCCATGAATCTCGGTGTTGATGAAGTATGTTTTGATGTAATCAGATTTAGTGGAGTGAATCAATTTGAATGAAAAGTGAATATTTGCGACCCTATAAAATATGTAATCCGATACAACAGCCAACCATCATTTGCTAATTTCTATTCTATGTAATTATTGTTCATACTCTACACTAAAATATTTTATCTTCAAAGTCAATAAATACACTTTATTATAAACACTGAAGTCGATGATTTGGTTGTTTACAACAACAGAAACCCTGATTTCGCAGATATGATGAACTGTTTGATTCTGTCACTCGTAGACTTTAATTCCGAAGGAATATATATATATATATATATATATATATATATATATCATACAGTTTGAGCAAAAGGATATCCTCTTTTTAGTTTTTCTATCTGGTAGTCAAACGCATGCATATCAGTACCAACTCTGGGACATTGCACGTCACAATAACAGCTGATTGATGTATTAGTGCGCCATGAAAATAATCTGTAACCTAAGAACATCTTCCGTATATTATCGAATCAAAGAGTAAACTTACATGCTAAATACACACACACAGAACATACATACACAGACAACAAACTGAGAACTTTACATCAGAAAAGATTAATTAGGTACTAACATCATTATTTCAATTTACATTCGATAATACAGATTAAAAAACGAATTTGAAATGAAGATTTATATGTAGACGAAGTAAGACATATTAATCTTATCGGTATACACAAGGAATGAATATTATATACATTATGATAAAATAAGCATTAGAATTCTTTCCATGTCAATGGTAAATCACAATATATACACATTGGATGAAGTATCATTGAACGCCAAGCGGATAAACGATCTAATGATAAATGGTTCGGAGAATAAAAATAACAAGTAATAGCCAAATTGATGATTGAACAGTAAAATAGAAACAATACGATCTATAGATTGTTATATTTGGATTACAGACCAGAAATGGAATCCGTAGCACGCATTTCAACCATTTGGAAGATCGTCGACTGGATGTACCACCATCTCAGTATTAATATCCACACAATGGCTGAAAAACAGAATCTAACACTACAAACGCAAACGTGTTATTCATTATGCTAATTATTCCATATAACTACTTGCTTTCTCAACACGTACAACGTTTACTCGTATTAGTGCTAACCAAAATTCAAATGTACTAAGACTTATAGCAAAATGTTATGTCGAGGCAATCGCCTCATGATGTACATACGCCAAGAAAGATATATGAAAATTCAGTGCTGAATGCCAAAAAAAGAGTTAACAATAGATTACGATTATTACGTGGTAAATAATCATATTGTCTACAATTTATAAAACATATGTGAAAACATATATGAAACTCAATATCAGTTTAGTATTACAGATTGGAAAGATGTGTACAGTACTAGTCGTTTTATAAGAAGACGGAGGCTTTGTATATGCTTTCTTCATATTGACTTATTTTGAGATATATTCCAGAGAACCAAGTACTTATGAGTGTATTTTCCATTTGCATGAAAGTAGATAAAATAATAGTGAATCAGTTCAACCAAATGCTTTGAATATTATAGACAAAAAGAACTCCATGCCTCCTAAAGTATGAATATTTGTCAAATACAAATCTGTGAAATTTGAATCAAAACCTTCCATTAATATAGAGCAGGATGTCAATAGACGGGTTTACTCGAAATGTCTTAATCGTAAAATGCATTATAGTATGTGAATTGGTAATCTACTCGGAATTTCCGCTCAGAATCAAAGCTTTTATATCTTAGCAGAAGTTCATATTGAGTACGAAAGTGCACGCTCTGTTATTGAGATCTATGAGGTGATTGAAATCAATGATCAGACGAAAACAATGATATGGCTCAAAGTTTATTATGATAAGCCAGATATATTCGTTCTATGCGGTGTTTTAGTATGCAGTAATTGAGTAGCACCCTAAGCCCATTTCATTTCATATATCGCCTGATATTTTAAACCAAAATAATATAATCGTTTTACGAAGATACCAACAGTAATTTAAAGATCATTTGCGGTACAATGAATATATCTGATAACGATTATGAACGCAAATGTATCCAGTAGTTGTTAATAACATGAATAATCTTACACCGACATAAACTTGAAAAATGTATATATGATAGAGGAAAATTAGATGTTGCTTATGCGGAAATGTAGATGACAAAAACAGGCTTATTATAACTCTTATTATGAATATCATTGATGTAGGAAAATATCAGTTGGTATCTAAACTAGATTTCATATTGTAACAGTTTACTATTCACAATATCAATCAATTACTTAGTGATGCAAAAAGTAGGATATGGGTATTTATTTAAAGAGATTTTAAATACATTGAGACTTATGAAATAACATGAAGAATGGTGGTGATAATCTCCAAAAATCACACAATTGTACAACATACCTTGAGGAGACACGCTAAGGGCTACACGATTACACTGACTACAATGACGAAACATAGGATCAGTGCAAGGTTCCAGAGATTGCATGCAGCGCTCTGAAGAAAAAAGGAATGCACGAAAAAACTTAAAACAAAACAGTTCATGTATTTTCTTGTATTATACAATTATCCAATGCAACTACTGATATATACTGAGTAACGATCATCTAATATCACTAGTGACAACTGTTTCAGATATGTCAAGACTAAGATGATCAAGTAGTTCTAATAGTTACATGTTCACTGTGAGACCTGAGGGACTTATGTCTGATAGTAGAAGAGGTTCTAGGTGCGTGGAGTTAACCGGTCCTATATTACAGCGAAACAACTGTCTGGTTTCCCTCTTTTTTGATGGTAACTTGACTAAGATTAATATGTGATAAATAAAATATAATAAGCAAACTAATCTACACAGGATTGCTGCAAATTACGAAAAGGTGCAATATAACTCACCAAATGGATGGTTTTGAGAGCAATTCATATAGGTTAGGTCCGGAATGACATGTACTAAACAGAAAAGAAAAATATACCCACCACACAACTTAAGGAAATAGATTGTACACTGTAAGCAGGACCATAATCATAACAACTAGATTAAAATATAGAAGAATAAAGTAACCGATAGTTTATATACACATTTTTTCAAATGGCAGTATCCAACGTATGTCTATTGATTTAAATATACTGGGCTTCACAAGAAAATCCTTGACTAGCAAATGGTTGTAGTATACAGTTATAATTAAAATAGGTGTACAAAATAGATTATAGCACTGAGGCTGATTCATAAAAAGAAACGGTCCGACCTTGATTTAGAGCCAACCATACACACATACATACACTTAAATAACAACAGTATAAAAAAACTTAATTTATTGATAGAAACGGAAACGACGAAGTATCTTTTTTAAGCAGAGATGGATGGCAACTAGTGGAACCAAGGACGCCCGATGCGTCTTATTCAGGGCTTGTCAACTCGACTAATCCACATCCCAGAGTTGATGTTCACTCTGATACTCAAGCTCAGTACCGTTTACGTCAAACGTCATGGCGTTATTCACTTAGCTGCTGAGTCCAAACGGGATGAATTTGAATGCATATATATATATATATATATATATATATATATATATATATATATATATATATATATATATATATATATATATATATATATAAGTTCTTTGAATCTTCCTAATCATGATTAAGACTGTGATTGATCAGCGTCATTTGGCACATGTGAAACCTGTGCGGATCACTTCGATACTCTCCATCAAGTCACAATGCACAAGCTAATGGCTCTCCGGTCTCAGTAGCTAAGTGGATAATGCGATAGCATTCGAATTCACACATTATTTTACTAACTTCCGTTTGATAAGCAAAGAGTAATATTGTATTGAACGGGAACACCAGTTGGTGACAACCGAATGTATTTGAACACAAAATTACAGAATCTCTTAGTAAAATCTGAGAACCATGTAGTAAATACTTCATTTGCAAAATGTTAATCAGCCGTATCAAACTTCACTGTCCCCTCAATTCCATACCAATCACTTTCTGTTCTCGTTCTCTTTTCGTCGATCTTCTTAACCTTCTACCATTAGGCATTCCACTTCCGATTGATGATATATAATACTTATATCTGTCGACATCAGTGGTGTGTGCTACACCATAGTATTTCTAATACAAACATAAAAAGTAGGTCTCTAAAAATGTGCACTAAACCTTTACTTTAGAAAATAAGTTTTATTAATCATTCAATAATTTAAATAAAAATACTGGTGAAATAATAACAGTCTGGATTACACAGATACCGAAAATGTATGTAGTTTAATATCTAAAATATAAACATTTATTATTCTTAACAAAAGAAATCAAACATTAATGCCCGATTCAAACAAGATAACTTATTTTGAACTAGTCAACCAATATTAAAAATAAGATGAAAATAAAGGAGAATAGTCATTTGCACTACATATATATTACATTTACTGGTAACCTTAAAGTATACTACCGAACTAATTAGAATGGCAAAAGTCAACATTTCGATTGTGAACTGTATAATGGTTAATTTTAATGAGTAAAACCTGAAATTCTTGTTCTCAAGACATCTAAATGTAAGAATTAGTTAAAAGAAATACTGGACTTGATTACTCCACATTTTTTTACATAGATGCATAGAAATTTAATACTATGAATAAAAGAATAGTGTAGGTGATGAAAATCAAACTGAAAACCTTATTTTGTTAGATTATACATTTCATTCTAGGAAATTATTGAAAGAAATTAAATTAACACATACATAGAAAATTATAATATACTCAATATAATAAAGAACAAACAAAAAAAGGATATTTTCTGAGCATATTGGACATTTCTGTAATTGACTGATGATATTATCAGTTGACAATTTAAACCGATGCACATAGAGTTGTACAGATAATTGGTGAACACTTTTAGCTAGTTCAGGTAAATCTTTGACGAAACATATATACTTCTTCAAAGCCCCATCGATAATCATTGTATCATCTTCATTTTTATTAGTTATACAACTAGACACAGAATCAATGGTGGTAGAGGTGGCGTCGGCGATGGTTTCCGTTGTCATAGTGCTAGGTGAATTAGTTAATATTTGTGACACTGGTCGGAAAATATTTAAAGTTAATGTGGCCATTTGTGAAACTAATAAACAATCTGTCGTAAGTAAAAACAAATCAAAACAATATGGAAAGATAAAATTATTTGATATTCAAATGATGATAAATATGAACAATATTGATACAAGAAAGTGACATTGTTTGTTTGAGACTTAATTCATCTGTCTTAAGGTTAAATCAGTCGAATAATAATATCCAGTTCACTCATTTATACGATTATATAAAGTATGGATTTGAAAACAAATCCATGAACATTTGTCTACTATTAGTAATTCGTATTGAAAACACCATAACATATAGAATATTAATAGGAAGAAAGCAATAAATCCACCAAGAGAGTATGAATTTTGCAGAAACTTAAAGGATAAACATGAATAAAGATAGTTTAATATACAAGAAACTAGTGCGAATCATACTTTTAAACCCTAAACATTCATCACACTTCCAGAATCCATAGTTTCCATAAAGATATTTGCATTTCCCTTACTGTTTGCATCACTATTTAATATGCGAAACAGTTTCGTCATATGAGATTACCAACAGACCATTCTTTCAGCTGGATGCATGTGCATCCGAGTTGATGTTCGCTCCGGAACTTGAATACAGTAGCGTTCGCATGGATGCAAATACATTCAACGGACGAATCCCAAATAAAACGAAGCGCGCGACCTGGATTCCACTGCTAGCAACCATCCATCTTTGCCTATAATGCTTGTGACTTAAAGAAATATCGAGGCAATCTGCATAGGATTCATGTATACAAGTAAGAGACTGATCAATTGCAGTCCTAAACATCAATGGGAAGATTCAAACAAACAATACTAAATGAATTTATAATTTGCAGTGTCCAAAAGGAAAATAATTCGAACATATATTTTACTAAACATGAACAGATATATGTTAAATTGCAAACTATATTTGAAAGCAAATAATGTTACTGTTCAACTTTCCACATTGAAATTTAACAAAACAACCAACGCCACAGATTAGTAGTAGACTATAGTTGTACATTGTAAAAACCCGATATATTGGTTAAGAGTACAAAATGGGACTAAAATATCAGTTTGTATAAAGGTTGAGTAAAAATATACATGATGGATAACCCAATCGAATGACTACTACAACCCAATAGTATGATAATCATAGTACTATACATGAAAACAAAAACGATCAAGAATAAAACAACGAATTGACCACTGAATAGTGACCTGTCATTTACGTAGTTCTTCAGTGCTGATCAAATTCTGTTGATCTAGGCTTCGTGTTATTTGGCACTTGTTAGTAAAGTGTACTAGTAAACTTGAGTGAACTGATACTACCTGAAATAGTAGTTCACGCTACAAACTCTATCAAATATAAACAGTTCAACAGATTCACTCAAAGAAGTAAAATAGAGAACAATACATACCACGTGCTTGTCTTTGTACAGAGGATTTAAGAAACAAACGATAGCATCGTTCCAAATGACGTTGTTGGATAAAGTTATCTAAACTAGTCATCCAAAGTTGTGCACGGGACTGGAAAAGAAAAACACAACGAAAAAGCCTTAGTCAGACACAATCGATACTATCATTCATAAAATTTGAGAACAGGAAAGTATATCAAAATAACAACTATTTTTCTAAAAAAAACCAAATAAATTCCTCACTTTGATGGATTCATCGGTGTCTTTGTTGAGCATACACAGAATAAATCTGAAAACAATATTAAATAATATGATATTAATCAATACTGATAACTATTATTCAAATTAATAAGTATATGCCTACTAGTAACCAGTTTCGAGAAGTAATTCCTAGGGTTCTAGTGAGACGCAGTCGCCAATAAAACTCAACCATATAAGGAATGAGGCAGTTACTAACCAATTGCATTAAATGATAGTTGAGCAATATCACGAATGTATTAAGGTTAAAAGTGTGAACGACAGGATGTTAACTCAGTGATCTAAAGGTTAAGCGTCTATGGCAAGACCTAAACGTCCCGAGTCTGAAACCTGGTGGTTGAGTTATGGAAGGGTACTGATGAGAAATCACATAATAAGACGAAAAACCTATCCACTGATTCCTGATTTTCAATGGTTATTCAACTAAGCTCAATCCATGATGTAAATCACAAATTACTAAATAGTAAAACTCAAACAATAATCCTAAATTTCAAAGAAATTATTCTCCATCAGTCAACCACTCATAAAAACTAGAGGATTAAAAATAAAAAAATTGAACAATTATTTTTTTTAACTCATGACATAATCCGAATCTGATATTCACAAAAATCAATATAGGGATTCGAAAGATATGAAATATTGATAAGACGGCATTATTAGGATGCTTTCAAAAATCATATTTGAATGGTCAAAATTCACATGTTACAATTACTTCTGATAATTAACGGAGAACATTTCTGAAATATCGATTATTCTACATGATGGACGAACTCCTTTTTTGACTAGAATCAGAAAACTGTAGACAGATTGAAAAATATATTCAATTTACAGTATACGATAAAAAGATTGCAGCCGTGTGTGAAAATTTTTACAAACTCCTTGGAAATATGATAGCTAATTGAAATATAAGAACACAATTTAACGAATAGAAACCGTAAAGATGAAGCAAACTCATGAAATGACTGATGAAAAATAGTGTTGAATTCATTTTTAACAGCTTCCTATGGGTAGAATTAAATTTTTAGAGTACCCACATTTATCAAATTATTATTTATTTATTTAAACACATAAATATTGGTACAAGAAAGCACCAGATAAATATGCGCCTCACAAATCTCATTCGATTTGTGTGAGGGCTGTGATACTGCCCAGGTGCCAAAACTGAAGCAGGTGGTTTTCTTAGGGGCTCACACCCGGAGCCTTTGACCAAAAGATCTGATCCACAAGGCAGTGGAGCATCGTGAGGAGATGCAGTCCCATGGTAGTCGGTGATCAACGATTGAATCGTACGCCATTTGTTCCCTCAGGATACTGGAGCCCATGTGCACCATTGTTTTGGAATCAGGGTTTTCCAACCACCCTAGGTGGACCCTCCATGTTCACCAACACGGTTAAAGCGCCGGACATTTGCTTTTCGTCCTCTCAATTTCGTAAACAACACCCCCGCCACGAGAAGGCAGTGAGTAGGACTTCCCTGGCAGAGGCTATATAAAAAAGTAAAAAAAGCTATATCAAAAGTAATGTATATAGCTAACAAAACCATCCACCGATTCTTCTACTTTCAATAAGTATTGCAATTCCACATTTTAGTTATAAGAGAAACACTTAGCTAAGTACATTGTAGAGACTGGTTTAATATTAAGAGTATTGTTATCAAAGACTGATACTAACCGCAAAATCGTTTAAATCCATCGAGTAATAGACAGCTACTGGTGATATATACTAGGTTGAGCTTCTTCAACATTTAGCATCCAAAGATCCTGCCAGTGACCAAACCAAGAACCGATAAGTTCTTCTATTAAACTTTATTAGTTATGTAAGTAGCTAGAGAGGACCATTAACATCGATAAGTATATATTATTCTACTTGATCTGTTGTTTTTTTCGATCTCTAATGTTTCTCTTTTATTCTTGAAAATTATTTCGATCTTTTTAATATATTTGTCTTACTGTAATAGAATGCCATATTTTGAGTAAGATGTGAAGTTTTCAACATCACTGTAGCTACTTTGCTTAAATTAAATTTAAGTTCACCATCACCTAATCAGCTGACTTTGTGAATTTGACCAACAACCAACAGATCTTATTGTAAATAATAGATCAGTCAATTATTAAGTCGAATACGATAATAAACATTTGTGACTCGAGGGAACATTTTTGCAGAATCAGTTATAATAACAAGGAAGCTCATGAAAACAGTTTTTTATGTTAAAGGTCAAAGTAACAATTAAAACTCTACCTGTATATTTGAAGCGTTGTAAGAGGCTTATTTAACCAACTATGAGGAAACGAAGAATCAGTGAGACAAGCCTGGTGAAAATCAATTTTCTCCAAACATATCTGTCTTAAATCCGTATTGCTGGATAAATTATCAGCTTTGTCGTCTGGTGAATGCCATCTTTGTATTAACTCTTGCAAACAATCAACTTTACGATTTAAAGGTAATTCAGGGTTGAATATAATTTCTTGTAAACTATCATTTGACCAAAACGATAAAAAATGGACCTAAAATTGAATGAGATAATTTAAGGCTTATGATTGATAAAAATTATAAAGAACAAGGTAGTTGGATCTACAAAGTAAGTTAAGTGACTTGTATAATCCAAGTTGAAATTATTACACTAATAGTTACGAACGTTCACTTTATTACATAACAATTCTAATAGAAAAAAAAAACAAATGTAATTAGATGGAAGGTCATGATAGTCCATTATCAAGTCTTTATTAACAATACCATTCATTAGTAGTAAGAACTATAACTTATTCAAGGTGAAGTTCATACAACACATATTGAAATCCAATAAAAACATTAATATATGTACATATTCATTAGAAATTGCTAACCCTAGGTGAAAGTAGAGCACTGCGTCGTGTACGATTATTATCCAAATAATTGCATGGCCTGTAAAGCAAAAGAAAAAGAAAGATGAAGTGTCAGGCATATAAATAATTTAAATTCATTAAATTACATTGCTCACAGATTTGAATGGTTTCAACAGCTTTTATTTCAATATTGTCAGCAAAACCAATCATCATGTCACCTCTAACTTTTAATTATCTATCTTTATATAGAAATAATTCATAAGTTTTACAACCATCAGTATGATATTGTATAGCTAGCTCTTAATTCTTAGCAATAATTGTTTTACTCGTCTTTCGTGATAATGAGTACCACTACAATGTACGTTTAGTTGATAACCTATAACACAAAATTTATATCGTTACTACTGAGTTGTAAACACTAATAATGACTAAACAACACTTTGTAAACAATGAAAGTAAGCAGATAAACTATTTGTGCGACCTGAAGAAACATTAATATCCATTATTTCAAAAATCCCATTATACTGATCACTAGGACGTTAAATCGTCCATATCGAATAAAAAAATAATTACTGACACCTATCTATGACCATTGCTAAATGCCATACACATGAGACAGATACTTGAATAAAACTTCCAAGATCATAAAATTCATAAGACCATTTATAATTCAAATGAGAAAGGAAAGAATACTATCGAATTAAAAATGACAAAAAATAGTGAAATAATTTAATACAACATACTTTTCAAGAAAACATATATAAACTCCATTCGTTGAAACTGATAATCCATGAAATTCCCAATGAACTACATCAGATTTATCATAATTAGAACTAGACCAAACAACTTGCCAATTCAACTTACCTACAATGAGACAAAAAATTATTATATACATGAAAACAAGAATATGATACTCAGTATACGCCATAAGTTGCTCGAACGAAGATTCAATGATTAAGGGGCTCAGCACAGAGACACTACAGGGGCTGTCTGAACCCCCACCTCATCTTATTCAGTTTGGGTAACTGAATAGCATCACTGCCCTTCACAATTAGAATGTGAAACAAAAACAAGTACACAAAAATTATTAATATTATAAACTGACTTAAAGTTCTAGTAAAGTGACTTTTGAAGTTATTAAAACGATTTTAGATATTTACATTTCATAATAACATTATTCAATGAACCACTAGTGAAAATGGACAAATGACAAATACTTGGAATCATTGAAAAAGGATACAGATGTGAAGGTCTACCATAGAATGAAAAAAGAATCAAGGGAAATTTCAATTGTTTGTTTCTTTAATCGCTATTGTTTATATATATATATATATATATATATATATATATATATATATATATATATAAACTGAAGTAGGTGGAGCGAGATTTAAATCTGGAACTTATTTACAATACAATGAATTTACCATGACGATTTATAAGTTTAAAACTTTTTGACAAAAAAAACAAAAAAATAAGGAGAGCTGAAATCTTTTAATAATACATAGGATCCTGTAAATGAATCACTGCCTTCTCCCCAGTATTGTAAATGTCATAAATTATAGAACGCCTTATATTGTTAGAAAATAAAAAGTCAAACAACATGAATTGACGATACAATATTATTTTTTCACTAAAATGGGAAAAAAAGAAGTGGAAAAGAGATAGGACTTCAAAAAATGAGAGTTGGAGCCTATCCTATTTCCAGTTTAGACTGGATGAAACTTTAAGTTCTGTAAGTAATTTCATTGGGAGAATATTGATTTGGGATCAGGGTTTTCCAACTCCCCTAAGTGTATGTTCCGTACATACCAACCTAGTTAAAGAGCCAGAGAACCTCATTTCGTCCTCTCAATTTCGTAAACGACACTTGCTGAGGGAAGGCAGTGAGTAGGATTTCCCTAGGAGTGGTTGTACACGCGTGGCCATTTGACAGCATTTCGAGAGGAAGAGCGGACTCTCCCCTCCCCACTATCATCTGTAACAAAGAATTTGGGGGATGGGAAGATTGGTTCAACTGACCAAACTAATGTTAAACGTGTGATTAACAGACGATTAACGTCTAAATAAATTCTGGACGTTTGGGAACAATTTTATAATTGGAAGAAATGTGGTAGGTACCATCGATATCAAGATGATGTCCATACTGTCACAAAATTAACTGACGCCTGAAAAGTAAACCAACTACAGTAAATAATCTGTTTAATCTAACCTAGTTTTTAATGGGTTCCAGACGAAAAGTATCTCAAAATTTATCACAATAAAAGACGAAAAGGTGTTGAAATATTTGGAATTTCTTTTTTACATTTTCAATGCAAAATAATGCAGCAGAATAGATCTATTCCAGAAATCAGTTTAGGAATGAAACACGAAGACATTCTCACATGCATTGACCAATTTATTTATTTGACAAACTGGTTCACACCTAAAACGTAGATGATCTAACAAATTTCAACATTATTTTCCCTTAAAATATCAGCTGCCATGCAACTGGCGGGATAAATTAACTGAATTTCAACGGATATGTACACGATCTAGTATGATCAAACTCAAGCCCAAATATAATAAAGATTATTATTGAGATTAGTGAGTATAAAATTAAAGCATAAAATCATAAGTATATTAAAGAGATGGAGAGGGGAATAAAGATAAATTAGTTGAAAATGTGAAACTTTATTGATCAAGCCAAGTGAAAGATATACATATATAACTATGCTTAATCCTAATTTGGCATGCTAAATAAAATACAATACAATTTAAAATAAACCCAAAAATTAACAACCCAGAGATATGACATCAATCTATGAAGACTTCAATTTCCGCCTTTAAGCTGTGTCATGTTTGATATAAAGTAAATTGGAAAGCGAAATGATGTACCTTAAAAGACTATACAATAGTATACAATGAATTTATACCTCTTACTTCATAAAATGAATAAAATAACGTTACTATCCTACTGATATTTTGATCTTCAATGTTTTCGTATTTCTGATATTGGAGATTAATTTATTCTGTGTTGTGATTCAATCAAATCCAACATTTAAAAGACAGTAAAACGATTAAAAATAAAAACCAAACTTCATTTTTTTTTCTTTAACATAAGATATTGAGAATTTTCATCGTGTATACAACCTTCATAAAAATCAAATATATTAGCTATGTTGATTAGGTTAGTAAATATATGTTGATTTATACAACAAAGTAAGACCTAATATCGAAAATATTTAGCAAAAATCAAGTCTACGATTCTCTATGCGAGAAAGTTCTATACCAATATCATATATATAATAATGTAAAATAAAATGTAAACCAAAAAAATACTTACATTCAGACACTTCATCAAGACTGGTGCGCATTAAGTAACCATCCACACTAGTGAGTAATAACTGTTCATTGTCTAAATAGATACCTAAACAGAGACATAATCACACAAACATGTTACAAAAGTCTATGTTGAATATGTAGTGCGCGAAATTGGATTTTTCATTGAAATAAATCGCAGAGTTACATGTTTGAAAAAGTTCATAAAAGGAATGTGTCAAATGTTTACACTGAGAAATAAAACGGATATTTCTAAAATCTAAATTTGGCTGTGTAAAACGAATTAAATGTCCTTAACAGTGAACAATGAAGAGTATGAGGAACGACAACCTTGAAACTCCATTTAACATCTAAACATAGTACATGGGAGGTAGAGCTGCATAGACTGATGGACAAATTGTAAAATCATCGATATAACTCGACCAAAACTAAACGATAAAACAAACATGAGATATATCACTACCCGATGAACGATCAGTGTAAACTATGAAGACAATAATATGGTAGGTAATTTAAAACGCAGAGTCCTCGAAACACAATCGCAACAGCTCATTTTTTGGAATGGAGAAAACAGTAAAAACACAAGATACTAACGGCACTATGAGACTTATAAGCCAATTATGAAACCCGTCCTAGTTATAAAACAATTAACAATGAAAACCAGTGAAATAACAGCTTTAATTTGGATAATTAGCCCTCACATATGAAATTATTCCTTGTATTAGAGGAAAAATGCCAACTTCACATATTAGGAGTCCGAATACTGTTGTGTGTTAGGGCTATCACTCCATAGAGTTTCCATCATCACATGACATCGATTATAACGTAAAAGGCTAGGATTAAGTATCAAGAATGAGGTTGACGTTTTGAGTTAGGTTTACAAATTAGGGTTGGTGTTTTCATCGCAAATAATAATAGTAATAATAGTAGCAATAATAATAAACCTCACATGATAAGGTGTACTAATCAATGGCGAGGTTGCGAAAATATTTTGCTGTGAAATATTTCACTACTGAAAGAGGCTAAAATGAACATAATTTCAGAAAACATACCATTAATGGACAGTGAAAGACTTATTCGATACCGACGGAAAATGATACCCAACACTGAAGCATCGAATACTACGATGTATAAATACTCTAAACATTATAAAATCTGTACATCTAAATGAGATAACAATATGTTTGAGATATCTTGGGTTAGTAGTATATAATTTTCGAATTTTATTGATTAATCGGATCTTTTATAAGAACTGTCAACAGAATTCTTAACTAGGACCCATTCAAATGGTCGGTATTTAAATAGTCGTAAAATAGCCAACACAACTGATCTACAGTTTGTTTTATTAACATACACTCCAAATAAACACCCTTGTCCCTTTGAGACTAAGGAGACTTGAATGAATTAAAAATATGTCAACATTACAGCTGAGGACATTTTAAAAACTACTGAATTGAAAAAACCTCTAAAGTTCAGTTCACTTTTTTATACATCTTGACATACCAGTAATATAGCCTAGAATAGGATTTGGTTGACTAACAAATTGACTTTTAACCAAATATAATGGATCTCGTCCACGACATGGCGTTGATAGACTACTTGGTTGTTCTTGGCGCTGGTTCTGTTGTTGGAAACAAATCTCTAAATCTTCCTTAGCTATATGAAATAATAGCAAATGACGACCATAGCCAATACATAATAAACGACGAGACATTGACCAGGCTGATGCTAAAATGGTTACATGATACAATGGAGTTGTCCATAGATTGAATAAATAAGGCTGTGTGATAAAATTTGAGAAACGAAAAAAGGAAGTAGAGCTGTTATATACCACGAAGACTAAACGAATGGTAACTTCCAGAAATTATCTATAACCTATCATTAAATATATTTCTTTCCTTTTATCATAAGCTTTCGGTTGTCACACTAAATACTATCATACAATTTAGTAGCCTTAATTTATTCCCAATCTATTAGTTACATTCTCACTTACAGTCCATTTTGGCTTGATCGCGAATAATTGTTATTTTTCATTTTATGATGTGATACGGTCTGATTTGTTTATGTATCAACCACGTATGTCTGAAATAAGACACCCATGTCGTGGGGGCTGGTTATCGTTTTTTGGATTCAATGAGCTGGGCAAGGAGAAAAGCAACTGTATCAAGGACCAATAACGATTTGAAATCAACTCAAGGTGTATTATTGGTTAGCTTAAGGACAAGGTGATAAAAATCGATATTGTGATTGCTCGTCTTGGGTTCAGAGCGAAATTTATTCCTTAACATTGTTAAATAGAATTTCGGGATTATAGCTGTCAGTTCGAGGTAAAACCATTACTTTAATTCCTAACCTTAAACTCAACTGTAAATCGCGATTCTAATCCATCTTACTAATTTTTAACCCTCTTTCGACCCTATTAAGTAGGTGAGTTGTCTCCAGGTCACTTAAGAGTCATCACAAGTCGTCCATAGCTTATGATCATACCAATTTTCTTCTTTGATATTCAGATAAGCCACTAAACAATAACACAGTGTGGAAACTAATAGAAAAAACTGGTTCAAAGCAATAAGACCAGGAGTTTTTTTGAGTTTGTGAAACTATCTTAATCATCAAACCAAAATAAGTTATTAAAAACCACCATTTGTTCGAATAGATAATTTTGGGCTTAAGGCAACGCAACATCAGATTGATTTAAATGTTAAATACCCAGGTCTAATAGCAACCACGATAAGATTTGACCAGTAAGTTTCAAAATCCTATACACTTAATTGTATAAAGTCGATGCATAACATTAAGTCAATTAAATTTATTATTAGAAAACTAAACGGCGAAAGATTTGTCCTCAAATGAGAAGACACCAGTGGTCACGTCACAGAATTGAGCTTAGCTGTTTAGATCATGTAAAAGCCCGAATCGTGTCTGGTTTTCCTGAAAATCAACGAAGAATTACCCTCTTGAACAGCGGCTTTCGATAAAATATGAATCAACTGATATATCTACGCATCTATAAAGTGGAGCAAGTAGATTAAGATACCTTGGTGAAGAATATGAAGTATCTGAGAGATTTGTGTACTTCAATTGTATTACTCATGAGTAACTAGTTTTTAGGCGTACAATTTTTTTCCGTTGTTAGTTCCAGAATCCTTGATGGTTGATGAATTTTTCTCACATCACGAACCAGCCTTATAACATTTTATAATCTCCAAAAACCACATAATGTTGACAGATCTTTAATTTGTTCAGCCATACTGAACTGCGCATATTTTTACCGTTCTTTGTTGAGAATTGATTGTTGTTACTGTTGAGTTTATCAATTTGAATGTGGTTTTTAATATGAGCTAATTTTTATCTACAATAGAACCAGTTTTCATTTATACATATTTAGATATGAATACCCCGAAAAGCCAAAACACTTTCATGAGTCTAATCGATACCCGGTACGCTATTCTGTTGAATCTAACAGTATCTATATCAAGGATGAGTACGAAGAAAAGTATAGGATGGTTATCGTAAACAGTAAATAAATTAACAGAAGTAAAACAACTAGTATTTGTTGAAAACGAAAACAAGGAAGCATCAATACCGGAGTTGAAGCTAAGCACTTTAAACTGAAGATTTATTTTCTTTAGTAAAGTTACAAACTGGTTAAGAGTGTAATCGAGAATGCGCGTATCGTCGTAATTGGGACTTACCAGTTGGTTGTACCCTATATATAAGGATAATTTAGTTGGTTAAATAATAGAATCATAGCAATCAAAGTAACAGAAGAACGGGAATTTACACAAGTATTAAGCAATATAGATTTAAAGATAAGTTTAGCTTTGCTTACTACTGTTAATACCAGGATACCAGTTGGGGAATATTCAATAGGAAACACTAAACCTTTCACAGAACCATCAGTAAAACCCAAAACAAGTAAGACTAAAAGAAAAAAAGAAAAAGCCATGTGTATAAGAATAGTTTTGGTTAGGAGCATGACAACATAAACATACTATCACTAATGCTACTAATCACTTGAATATGTGTTATGTGTGCTCAACCACCATCTGTTTGTTAGTGAAGGAGTATGTTGGAAAAAAACTAGTGGTGAAAAAGTCAACACGCGACTGAGATCGGTATATGAAGTTATGAACAGTTGGAATGAGCCGTATAGGCGGTTGTAGACTACTTGGTTAGAGTCTGCGTGGTTACTGTAATAAATGGATGAAGAACTTGAATAAACCAGCCCAGAATCAATTGAAAATTTTTAATTTATACTCCGTAAACTCGTTGTTTCTTCTTGAATCATATTTTCTACTCCTAGTGTTTTCAAAAGCCACTGATACTAATACTAACTCTATTTATCATTCATTTTATTGATAATTTCATCTCACTATGCTGATATATTTCAGGAACTTGTACCGATGTCCTAATCTGCCAAGTCCTACGTTTTTAATGACTAGCCACTAACCTTTAATCGTGAAACAAACCATGACCAAATGGCACTCGATTTTATGGCCGAACTAATCAGATAGAGCTTTTCCGTTTTTGGCGCTAAGTTTACTCACCCGTTTGTCTTCAAAGCATTTTTCATTACAGCTGATAACAGTTGATAATGAAAACTGTAGCTCTGTACATCTGACTTTAACCTCAAATACCTAACCCTAACTGAAAACAATGAAAGGACTTAAATAGGGCAGGAACAACAAAGTTTGCAGAATAAAATGAATCCATTCTATTTCAATGTTTCGCATCAGCAGCTACGTACAACCTAACAATACAATTAGTAATACAAATATAACTCTTAACAAATGTTTAACATATTTTAGTTTGTGAAGTTTAGATAAATGTTCGAAACGTAACCGAAATCATTTTCTACGAATTTGTTCTAATAATACTAAAATTAGCGGCCAATTATTTAAAAGATATATATCAGTTTTCTAAAGAAAGAGATCAATTGGATATGTTAGATAAATTCATGACATCTTTTGACGTGTGTTCATTATTAATGAGTTTACCATTAGTATAAAATGTCAATACAATTTGCGAATGATCTGAATTACTTCCTTCGCCTAAAAATGAGTTGAGAAAATTATTACTACTTCGCATGAAAGGAGTTCATTTTCAAATCAACAACAAACTGAACAGAAAAGACCGATGGAGTGAACATGGGATCAATACTAGGGACTATCTTGACAGATACCTTCATGGCTAATCTAGAAAAAAACGAAACCAAAACACGAAATCTAAAACACAACATACTACACTAGATATGTTGATGAAAGGTTCATTATGTTTGATGGCATGGACCACGCTTCTTCGTTACTTAGTCACTTCAACTCTTATCCTAACATAACATTCATAACAGAATATGAAAGAGTCAACCAATTCATTTTTCTAGATTTTAGTGTAAGACTGAAAAATGATGGAAGTCTTGAGAAAAGTATATATAGCAAAGAAACGCGAACAGAACCGAAAATGAACTCTAACAGCTTTTGTCCTACAGTTGCAAAAGGTGTCCAGTCGAAACGCTCTTCAACAGAGCTAGGGTTTTATGCTCATACGACAAAATAAATAGGGAGTTGACTATTCTGGAAAAGCATCTCAAAAATGAATGCCCACAACTTTACTAGAAACAGGTCTTCTTGGGGGGCACTAAAACTTGGTAGTCTTAAGGTAGTGCTCGCTGTAAGAGATGGAGTTCAGAATTCAACTAAAACCTTAGTTTTTTAAAGCTTCAATTAGAATTCTGAAAGAAATATAGACGGTCCATGAAGTGAATGAAAAGACAGAAATACTCCTGTATGAATTTTAATCAATCAACTTTATTAACACTACATCCGATATAACCAATTGAGATTTCTAGATACTTTTCTCCTTGATATGATAAAACTATACATTTATTTACTTGATTTCTATAATCTACATGTAATCTGGTACATTCGGGGACAAAAAATAGTATGAGCCATACAAATAATATTTATATGTAGGCTAGGATATTGAAAGAACGCTCAAAATGAAGCACGTAGTTTTCTTCGGCGACTCACTTTCCGAGCTTTTGATGTGAAGGTTTAATCCTACAGTGCAGTGAATAACCATCAGGAGATCCGTCCCATGCTAGTCGGTAACCGAAATAAGTTCATACGCTATTCATCTTCACAAGGTTCTAAAACATATGTACTATACTGACTTGGAATGAGAGTTTTTCAACTTCCTTAAGTGAACCCACTGATCCGGTTTAAGCACCGGATGTTTGCTTCTTGTCCTCTCATTTTAACAACCAATACCCTTGCCTTCTGAAGTTAGTCAGTAGGACTTTTCAGTCAGAAACTATAAATGAATGGGAGTATGGGAGGATTTCGTGAGGAAGTGTGAACTCTTCATATGCTTGTAAGTATCATAACTTTTGGGAGCTGAAATTACACATAAAACAGCGAAATTCTTTCCAAGAAATTCTATTCGACAAAAAATTGGAAAAAAAGTAATAACTTACGATTGAGATTATCCAAATCATAAAGTTTGATATAGTTTGGGCGTTTATCAATCGAATCGCTGCGCACGACAGCGTACGTATAATCTACCCATAACAATGACATCGATGACCTGAGTAGTTTATTATTCCACATACCAAATTAAAATAAAGAAATCAAATAAATTTCAACTAACGAGGTTTGAAAGGACAACATAAGATTCACTTTTGTGACAATCTAGTAATAAATAGTTTAAATGTTTTTTTCTGGTTACTATATTTTTCGGTAAGGTTCTTTCTTTCTTACCCGGGCTTGGGATCGGCATTAACCCCAGAATAGCTCTAAGAGGCAGTTGGAAAAGGACCCAGAACAGAGTATGTTGGAGACACCTATGGTCGACGGCCTATGCTACCATGAGGGGAAACAGGCGTACATAAGTAGCTAATAAACAGTAAACTTTACTTTTCCAGAGGTATGTGATGTAAGGTTAGGAATATAAACAACAGGTTGCGAATCGAACGAGTTCTTATGTGGGGGATCGCAAAATATTGGATTAACCCAACACTATATATATTCTACAGTAAGTAGAATATTAATTTTCTACGAATAAACTTTCGATTATTGAAACGAGAAAAAAGAATTCCTATCGATAGATGTTGCACAATGATACGATATGGCTCAGTATGACTTACGAAGAGGAAAAATTATAACCTTAATCCTCCAAATGATTTGAAATGAAATGCAAGAACGCTGAACAGAAGAATGTTTTCATATGTAACAAAATGACATGCTTCCATACAATATATCAAAGTGAAACATGCCTGATAAAATGTCATGAAGAATTGGAAGAACTTAGTGTCCAGGTCAGTCACTCCCCAATTGATTCAAACATAATAGTTGAGTCTAATTCTTGGGCATCGTAGCAGTAGGATGGGAAATCAAGATTGCAGGTCGTTGACCGCTAAGATGTGTGTCTATAATTCAGATTTTTGGAAGTCAAGAAAATACATTAAATGAACAAAAGTAAAATAACTTACACTCCAGAAAATGGTACTGAAACCATCCATATACAAAAAGCACCAGATTTCATTAAGACTGCCAAAAATGTCACTGAGCATAATGAAAATGACTCAGTGACTAATTGAGTTGGGTCAACTGGTATCACATAATAGGACATGTTATTGTTTATGTCAGGTGCAGTTTTCAAATTCATTGAATGAGTGGATTTTATTCGAGGTTGTCGAACTATCTGACACCAACTTGTGTAAGCAACCACAACATCTTCTATTGCATCGAAATAATCCATAATACTTTTACATATTAATGATGGAATATTATTACATTCAGTAGGCTATATAATAGACAAGAGAGTTTACTGAAGAATAACTATGCGGATAATGATGAAGAAAACGAAGAATATTATTATTATTACTAATGATAATAACAATGAACAAAATTGGAAGACTCTTGAGTAATTAGACAAATAAATCTTTTTAAGGTAGGATGAGAGTTGGAGACAACAAAAAACCCTGAACCTGGGATTTCATGTTAGTTGGGACATATCAACACAGAGTAACTGTAATCTTGGAGGAACTGATGCTGTCTGACGGATTTGATCCTATGTCGCTCAGTCTCATGACCAGAGACGCTGCCACTGAGCTATTTAGGCCATGAACAACCTCCTGTAAAACTGATATGTATTAATAAGTGATTGACCACTGAGTAGTGACCACTCAAATGTAAATCTCTTTACTGTTATATCAAAAATATTTCAATTACTGTCATAATTATATAATCCCTAATATTAATTATTATATTATTGAATGGCAGTTGAAAACTGCTTTAGATATCCCATTCATTTTATGAAAACTATGTTTGGAGCTTTGTTGATCAAATGATTTATTCTATTAGTTGCTGATGTTACCAGTACTCATACTATTACTAATGATTATGCGAAAAGTACTCATTTTATTAATGATTACGTTAAAAATATTCATCTTATTTACAATTGTGTTACACGTAACTTCTGTGTACTAATTCAAAGGTACTTATCGATTTAGGAATCATATTATCAACATTAATTGGTGTGTTACTTCTCATTCATATAGTTATATTGGCAAAAAGGTATCCTACGGATAAATAATAAATTACAGTCGTAGTCTTGAAATTTAGGTACGTCAATCAGAAGAGAAGCATAGTTACAAGAGGATATAGGTCGAAGAAATCAGCACACTACCCAATGGACACACACTCTTTAAGAAGAGGAGGTGATGTGCGCCTATCCCAACACCTTTAGTTGAATCTCAGAAAGACCTATTTTCAGGAGAGGACGGTAATGTAACAGGATAAAAAAATTACATTTTTAATTCATTGTAATTTTCGTTCAACATTACTTTCCTTTAAGTTGGATATGATGATTACTCGGTGTAATACTTTTTTTATTTTCAGCGTGATATGTTGTCCAATATACTAGTGAAATATTTTAGCGTGATATTTGTTCAAGACAATATTTTTTGTATTAATTCAGTGTGATACTCGTAGCTTGAGTTTTTGTAGTAATTCTGTGTATTCCTGCTATATCCGATCATTGATAACTAATCATCAAGTATGAGTGTATTCATATACCATTTCGATATATATGCAAGATCAAATAAATCCATATCACCAGTCTTTATACCTTTGTAGTGACGCTACTAACAAGAATGTTTGTAAGTAGTGTGTGACAGAACATGACGTCGAAATTGCAACACTTGTCAGATGGAGTGAACAGTTTCAGTGTATCGAAAGGACGACGTTGGTAGAACGCTTGAAGATCAGATGAGAAGACAGTTCAGATAACAGAACACACCGAAAGATGAAAATGGACGATTGAAGGCTAAGTACATGTATTATGTAAATACTTAGTAACTTCTCACGAAAAACACATTCCCCCCGACCGTTGTCGTGTTTTACACCCTCACTATGCATCATCTGATTGGGGTTTTCAGTGCCAAGCACAAGTCAGTTGACCATATAGCAGATATAACATCCTCTCTTATCAACTGAAGAGTGGACAGTGGATGCTCCTAAAATCTTAGGAATCGAACCCAAGAGCTTACGGTCAGTAAATTCAAATCTAAACCATTTGTGCATTTTCTTACAAAACCATCTCTATTAGACCTAAGTTTTATTCTATAAGACTTTTAAGAGCCTTTTAGTTGGAATTCTTAAAGCGAAGAGTCATTTTGGTAAATTTCACCAAATAAAGCTAGGTAATTGATAGCATAACCTGCACAAATTTAAAAAAAGGTTTAAATAGAGAAGCCCCATTGTTTTAGTTCAGTGGTTAATTACTGTTCATTGTAATATGACACAAATTGTTTACTAAATGTACAACAGAACTAAATAAGACAAGTCAACAACTAGGCTATTTGGATACCTCAAGTACTAACACCAGTTTAAAAGATTTATATTTAGGGAAAATAAAAGTTAGGACAATAAAATGTATGGTAAATGTAAGAATACTAACTTGGAAAATAAACTGTGGTCGACTATCAACAACCACTTTTCGACTTTGGGCGACCCTACCATGTTCAACATAGTACTGCTGCCAAATCAATGCTAGATCGACTGACTGATAAAAAAATTAAAAGTATATAAATAAAGGAATCGTGTACAAAAGAAAAAAAATTATAGTTAGTAGAAGCTGAATTGACAGGATAATTGCCTTTAAAACGACTTGATATCACGTGAATAATCATTGAGAACAAAAATGTACTGCGAAAGTCTTATTGTTTGAATTGAAGGCTAAATAGCAGTACACACAAATGACTACTTTCCGTGCACACCGACCCGGTTAAAGAGCCAGACAACAACTTTATTTTCTTCTCTCAATTTCGTAAACAAAACTCTTGCTGAGAGAAGACAGTGAATAAAACTTCCCTATGAGTGTGTATATACGCGTGGTCCCACGCGAGTATTTTAAGAGGGAGAGCGGACTAACACCAATATCACCTATACCAAGGCGCTTAAGGTAATAGAAAAGATCAGGCATAGAAGATACGATCAAAGAAAAGAATATAAATTAGGAGAATGAAAAAAAATATATGATAATTTAGAAACTTAGGATTCAAGGGAAGACAAAGAGTGAATGTATCTGGCCAGTGCAAACAATTCAAGGCTATATCACTTAGAGTATCCAACCATTACTAGTTACGGTAATCGCAGGGACTGAATCGGGTAGTCTGCACCTACCTACGCCAATCAGTCTAACAGTCAGTGTCTTCATGGACTGATGTCATATCTCGGTTTGACTGATTCTAGACTTCTTTCGACCTACTCCTATATCACTCACCATCGCGCGTCAAAATAACTCATAGGTAGGGATAACTAATACATGTTCTGGCCATCGCAGTTCATAAGACTTAATTATCTTATCAATCAATTTGTAATCCTTACAAATTGCTATGTGTATAACTTTGGAATCACCAACTTGATGATCAAAAAATACTCGTCCTTTAGCTGGCAGACAGATATCTTATCTACGCTGTAAATGGTGCAAATTGGTAAACACTAATCGAGCTCTCTGAACTCGTGCTGAGACCTCATCAGACACCAACTTACCAAAGATTATGAGACTTACGAAACAAGTCAATTTATCGACATGCTCAACTGCTTCATTTCTTATCATTAGCTCAGTTTGCCATAAGTTCCAACTAAATCAAAAGTGTTCGAGTACAGAGCCTATACGAGGTTTATTTATCTCTTTTGTACACCTTTCAGCGATAGACACTACCATAAAACCAGTCAATCTACGGAATCGAACGCCGCCCTAAGACCAATAAATACAACTATGCTTGGGAGATGTCTGTTTCAGGACCTAACAAAGGCAGAATATTTGGTATGGCATCGCTGTTATGCTGGTCGTCTGAAAGAAACACCTTACTGCCGTCACACCTCTGTACAGTCAGAAGTATGACTTCGCCTTTGGACCTTGGGATTGCTGCTTTTAGTCTCACCGCTCTTCAACCGATCTGTCTGGCATGGTAGGATCTTGAGGAACGATTGTTCCAACCAGTATAGCTCGATTGGTTCATCACGATAGGCAAGCCCGACTACCACGTCAAGGTAGCAGCAACGGTCGGGTCCCTAGTGCCGTTAGGCGTATAAGAACGGTAATCACCACCCAATTTTCTGCACCACGGAAGGATATTTCTTTTTAGAGGATCCATAAAGGAAACTGGAAAAGAAGTGGTCGTACCAAGATGGGAGTGTAACTGCAGAGTTCGAGAGATAACTGCATGAGATTGATCACACTTAGCTTTCCTGTGAATTTTTTGGTGTTAGCTTTGTATGTCAAAAGGTATTACCGCCGGAGGCGGAAACTTGTAAGATAAGGAGAGGTGTGACATTTTTATGGTCGACTATTTCTAACTCCTTCCTTCTGTTGTGAGGTAGAACCCCTGTAGATGTTGTTTGTCTGAGCGAAACATCTTAACGATGTTAAACTCAAGTACAGTCAGCAACAAGGTTTTGCCTCGACTATGAGTTCGCTGCCTTTAGTCTTACCGTTCCCCAACCGACCTGTCTGGCACGCTAATAATAATTATTCCAGCTAATATAGCTGGACTATATCACAGCGATAGGCAAGAGCAACCAGTATGTTAAGGTAGTAACCATGGTTGGGGAAACTATATTCAGAAGTGAAATAACTTTTCACCTGAGATAGCGGCATAAATGAGCGTTAATTCTTGGTCCCGAAACCGGAGCTTATTATTAGGTTATAGATCTCACTGAAGTTATTTTGTGACTTGTACTCTGTGATATAAAGGCCTGAAAGAAATGGCTAAACGCACAAAGTTTCATTGTGACGATGGAAAATTAAAACTACAGTGCTGCTGATGCAATATTTTTTATAGTTAAACTTCATAGGAAGTTCTGAAAATAACTAGTAGAAAAGACCTACTGACTTAGTAGTAGACACAAGTAATATTTTAATACTAGACACTTTAGGCCAGTTCAAATAGCGGATAATGTATTCATCAACCACAAAGTACTATAAACAAGAAATTACCTAATTGAGGTAATAACTATAAAATTATTTTAATGGATTAGAAATACAGCTTACTTCTTCCCAAGATTCAGTTCCTTTAAGCGTACACAAAACTGTTCGATTTTCCATTGTTGTTAAACTCATTATACACCTATAGAATTGAGAGATGATTGGTGACTTTGGAAGCTGTCTATGAAGTATACAAATTATTGAAAATCAACTCCAAAGTATGATCTGTTTCACTAATGCTCCTCTCATTGTTGATGGAGGAGTATGACATATGATCCATAAGTTACGTGAGAGTAGTGAGATATTATATTAGAAATTAAAGTATTTGTTTAGATATGACAACTGAAGATGCTACTAATTATTTTGGATATGTGAATTTCAACCAGTAAGTTGTGTGTTCTAATCACCCACCAAGCTCAACAAAATTTTACTAGACTGCAAAATGCTACACAGATCTAACAAAGCATAAGTAAAAGCCAATAAAATCAAGCCGAAAACTTATATTTCAGAGTGCATATTTACGTCGGTTAAACGCTCGACTTCAAAACATTCAAATTCAGATATTTTATACGTCCCTTAATGATATATAGAACTCAGTGAGCAGAACACTTAGCTTTCAATGATTTCGTCATTTTACGTTCTAATCTATAAACTACAGAATGAACAGAAAATATGTATCATAATAACTTCACATACACAATCTAGTTCACAGACAGGTGCACCAACCTGAATGGGTTATGTTGAGACGGTGGTTACTAGTCCCAAATCAGCTCACTGAACACAGCCTCGTTTAACTAACCCTAAGGATATGTTGTACTTCTACACCAATTTTCTCAATACTTATCTGCATTTATTGATACGGTTCATGTTAGAGCGTTTTCCGAATGAAAGATTTGTGCTAATTACAAAGATGTTTTCGATGCTAATCAACAATAGAGTACACACACTAACCACGTAAGGAGAACATCGGAAACTATAGTGACTCACTGATAGATTAGCATATATAAAATTAATAAATCTTATATGTTCTATCCACGAAACCATTGACAATTATGAAAAAATAACCTAACATTTTCAAGTTTGAACTAAACTAGAGTACTACTTTGAAAAAAAAACATATGTCTCATATATACGAAGTCAGACAACAAGAGAAAAGTGTAAATCCTGAGTATCATAGATAGCAACTTTCATGCACAAGAAACAACGTATTTCAAATTTGCGAAAACCAACCTTTCATATTTATCAACTCCTCTTGGACTCCAAGAAACTAATCGAGCTCCATTTTTTAGTTTCAAGATGTCTCGATTTATTTGTAGATGAGGAAAGAGAATAGACCTGTTTACGTTTTCTTTGAGTGAGAATTCTGTGTTTGAAAACACAATAAAAAAAACAAAATAATTTAGCTTACTGATTTCATCGTCGACTTCAGATCCTTTTAACATACAATCATTATCAAGTTCAATCCTTAAGAAATCACGGGTAATAAAGTCAACTTCTTGGGCGATTGCTATCTTCTTGGGGCGGTCGTCATGATGTGAAAGAGAAAAACTCTAAATAGGAGAAACAGAAACAAATATATTTAGTGTGAGACACATATGAGCTAACAAGAAATGTCTTTGAAGTTAGTAGTGGGGAGTTAACAGTGGATAGCTGAGAGAATTCACTAAAAATCTTAAGTAATTAAGCGGTTGTCGAGTCCTACAGTAATCGTTTTTAGAAATCCGATTTTAGTTTACTAGTGAGGAGTACGTACTAATCCTAAACCAAACGTTTATCGAATTACTTAACAACCATGCCCGACCGTTGCTGCTACCTTGACGTGATGGTCGGGCTTGCCTATCGTGATGGTCCAATCGAGCTATGCTGGCTGGAACAATCGTTCCTCAAGATCCTACCATGCCAGACAGGTCGGTTGAAGAGCGGTGAGACTAAAAGCAGCAATCCCAAGGTCCGAAGGCGAAGTCGTACTGCTGACTGTACAGAGGTGTGAAAGCAGTAAGGTGTTTCCTTCAGACAACAAGCATGACAGCGATGCTGCCTTCCCACAAGAAGGGATGGGGTTAGAAAAGGTCGACCCTAAAAATGCACACCTCGCTATATCCCACGGGTTTCCGTCTCCAGCGGTAAGGACTTTTGAAGAACGGAGCTAACACGTCAAAAATTCCCCACAAAAAAGCCGTGCGTGACCGGCCTTGAGCAGTTGTCCCTTGGGAACTGCGGTCACGCTCCCAGGTCGTTACGACCAACACTAATCCAACTTCTTTTTCAGGTCACTCAAAAAATACCCTTCCACGGTATGGGCAGCCGGGAAGTCATACTTTCCCTCATACCCTTAACTGCACACGAGACCAAGTTGGTCACTTTCAAATCCTTCCTACACTTAATAACACTTATCTCCACTACTAACCCTTCTCACGTCCTTTTATCACCTCGCACCGCTAGGGCAAACGATTCGAGTACACAGAACGTTATTCCTGGTCTCCTGAAACCACGCTCTAAACTACATGTAGGAACTTTTAATGTCCGAACATTGTGCCAAATAGGACAACAGGCTTCCTTAGCTAGGACTCTAGAATCTTACACCATCGATGTGTGCTGCGTCTCCGAAACGCGCATACAAGATCCGAGTAGTGTCATTCATTTGACCTCACCCAATCAAAATAAAGATTCATCTCGATACACACTTCGTGTATCTGGAAGCCCTGATGCTGCTTCCCGTGGCCTCGCTGGAGTAGGTATAGCATTAAGTCCTAGGGCAGAACTAGCTCTTTTAGACTGGATTCCAGTAGACAGTCGTCTATGCGCTGTCCAACTAAACAGATCAGTAAGGACCCGGAAAGATAGGGAAACTCGTCGTTGCCTCTTCGTCGTCTCTGCCTACTCTCCCACTGACTGCAGCTCAGACGATATAAAAGATGAGTTCTACAGGAAACTTTCTGACCTTCTCCGAAAAGCTAGGCGTTCTGATGTAGTAATAGTAGCAGGTGACTTTAATGCTCTAGTAGGTAAACTAAGTGAAAGGGAAAGACACCTGGGTGGATCTTATGGTGTCATGGCGAAAAGAACAGATAATGGCGACCGTCTGTTGCAGCTATGCTCAGATAACCGCCTATTTCTTGCAAATACTAACTTTAAGCATAAGGATAAACATCTTTTGACATGGCGACCCCCGAATTCGTCCCAACGTTGGACCCAGTTAGATCACATCGCTATCAGCCACCGATGGAGGGGCTCGATAGAAGACTGTCGCTCATTCTGGGGCACATGTTTAGATTCAGATCATGCTCTAGTGCGAGCACGTATCTGTCTGCGTCTTACTGGTCGTAGGAAAGACACTGCAGGGAAGCCTCTAAGGGTTCTACTTAATGATAGGCAAGCTAAGAATATATTTCAGGAACAACTAGAAAAACAGTTAGGCAGCCGTGTAAGTTATGCCCACCCCGAGGCAGCGTGGAATGACACCCGAAAAGCTGTGGAAACAGCAGTGATATCCGCTAGTAAGGTAAACCATAACGTTAGGGAGAAACAATGGATCTCGGCAGCATCTACCGCACTGATAGATGCTCGAAAACTCATCCCACCTGGCTTTGAACATAACGAAGAGCGGAGTCAACTTAATCGCAGGCTAATAAGAAGCCTACGTAATGATCGTGAATAGTGGTGGGTAGCGAAAGCAAGAGAGATGGAAAAGGCAGCGGCAATAGGTAACAATAGGCAGATATTCAGACTCGTTAAAGAAACCGGTATTAGGAACCCAAGTATCAGTGAAACCATCTCAGATAAAGATGGGCATATCATTCATTCTCAATCCAGTAGATTGGATCGATGGGCAGAACACTTTAGGGATCAGTTCAACTGGCCTTCAGCCACATTTCAATTACCCACGATCCCCAGTCGTCCTGAATGGCAAATTGATGTAAGTCTTCCAACCCTCTGCAAGGTTAAAAAAGCTATAGGAAATCTGAAGCGAGGGAGAGCAGCAGGCCCCGACAGGTTGACCCCTGAGATTTTTAAGGATGGTGGTCCAGCACTAGCAGGGAGATTGACTCAGGTCTTAGGTAGAATCTGGGAACTGGACGTAATTCCATCTGACTGGTCCCAATCACTGATTGTGCCAGTCTATAAGAAAGGACAAAAGTCCTCCTGTGACAATCACAGAGGGATCAGTTTGTGTAATATGGTGTCTAAAATATTAGCTTCAATAATACTAGGTCGCCTAACCAAAGCTCGTGAAGAGCAGACTAGAGAAAACCAGGCTGGTTTTCGACCTGGACGTGGTTGCATAGGCCAGATATTCACCCTACGTCAGGTCCTAGAACATAGACACACATTCAGACGTCCCACAATAGTAGTATCTCTTGACCTTAGGGAGGCATTTGACTCTGTTGATCGTGCGGTTCTATGGCAGTGTTTGTCACTGAAAGGAGTACCAAAAAAGTACATTAACCTCATAAAGGCTCTCTACTCGAACACAACTGGTCGAGTTAGAGCCTATGGCGAACTGTCATCAGAACTGATTACCTCAAGTGGTGTTCGTCAGGGCTGTCCACTCTCCCCATTCTTGTTTAACTTTGTCATTGACATACTTTTAGAGATAGCACTTTCATCAGCTAAACCTCCAGGAGTTGAACTTTTACCGGGAGGCTCACTTGTTGACTTAGAATACGCCGACGACATAGTTTTACTCGGTGAAGACGCTGACAACATGCAGAGTCTTCTGACCACTATAAGCAACTATGCAGGCATGTTCGAGATGCGATTCTCTCCCTCGAAGTGCAAAATGTTACTTCAGGATTGGGTTGCAGCGACACCTGAACTAATGATAGGGAGTGAAGTAGTTGAGCGTGTAGACCACTTCACTTATCTTGGGAGTCTCATCAGCCCTTGTGGTCTGGTATGTGACGAAATCTCAGCACGGATACAGAAGGCTCGTCTAGCTTTCACCAACTTGCGTCATTTATGGCGTAGGCGAGATATCCGTCTAGCAACCAAAGGATGTGTTTACTGTGCAGCAGTTCGCTCCGTCCTACTTTATGGCAGTGAAACATGGCCGATAAGAGTAGAGGATAATCGTAGGCTACTAGTATTTGATCACAGGTATCTTCGAAGCATTGCTCGTATATCCTGGGACCACCGGGTAAGTAATGCAGTTGTTAGGAAACGAGTACTAGTTAAGGATGGCAAATCGATTGATGAAGTAGTGAAACTTCATCAGTTGAGATGGCTGGGACATGTGTTACGTATGCCCGACCACCGACTGCCCCGACGTGCAATGTTTCATGGTGTAGGAGTAGGTTGGAAGAAAGCTAGGGGCGGCCATATCAAAACACGGCACAAATCCATGTAGTCACTGATAAGTGGACTGAGCCATGTTGGTAAGTGTAGACTACCTGGTTGGGATCCGCAAGATGATAACAACCGATGGTTAGAGACCTTGAATGACATGGTTCAAAATCGTTTTCAATGGCGAAGGTGCATCCACTATTTGTGTTCTGCCAAATTCTAATCTTCCGAATTCCTCATGTCTCTATCTTTTTTCTCTTTTCAAATTTGTTTTACTGGATTATACTCCTTCAGTAACATCTTCAAACCGTAAGCTTTCCGATTACAGCTTATACTCTTACTACCTGTACCACTACGGGATTTGAATCGACAACTGCATCTCTGTGTTAATGTGGTATGGCAACTCGAACTGATGTACGTACGTACGAAGTTCTACGTTGTGACTGACTGACTAACAACCATGCTCTGGAATAATATCGTGACTTAATGCAATCCATACAAACCACTGGTAAGTCACTAAAATACTGACTAGATGGACTCCCGAAGTGAATACAGTAGTAAACAATGTAAGTCAATGAGCTGATTAGTCAGTCAGTCGGTTACAACGTAGAACTTCGTACGTACGTACATCAGTTCGAGTTGCCATACCACATTAGCACAGAGATGCAGTTGTCGATTCAAATCCCATATTGGTAGAAGTAGTAGGAGTATAATCAGAAATCCAAAAGATTAGGGTTTGAAGAAATTATTGAAGGAGTTTAGTACAGTGAAATAAATTTGGAAAGAGAAAAAGATATAGATTTGAAAAATTCAGAAGATTAGAATTTGGTAGAACACAAAGAGTGGATGCACCTTCGCCATTGCAAACGATTTTGAGCCATCTCATTCAAGGTCTCTAACCATCGGTTGCTGTCATCTCGCGAATCCCAACCAGGTAGTCTACACCTACCAACATGGCCCAGTCCACTTGTCAGTGACTTCATTGATTTGTGCCACGTTTTGGTCTGGCCACCCCTAGCTTTCTTCCAACCTACTCCTACACCATGAAACATTGCACGTCGGGGCAGTCGGTGGTCGGGCATACGTAACACATGTCCCAGCCATCTCAACTGATGAAGTTTCACTACTTCATCAATCGATTTGCCATCCTTAACTAGTACTCGTTTCCTAACAACTGCATTACTTACCCGGTGGTCCCAGGATATACGAGCAATGCTTCGAAGATACCTGTGATCAAATACTAGTAGCCTACGATTATCCTCTACTCTTATCGGCCATGTTTCACTGCCATAAAGTAGGACGGAGCGAACTGCTGCACAGTAAACACATCCTTTGGTTGCTAGACGGATATCTCGCCTACGCCATAAATGACGCAAGTTGGTGAAAGCTAGACGAGCCTTCTGTATCCGTGCTGAGATTTCGTCACATACCAGACCACAAGGGCTGATGAGACTCCCAAGATAAGTGAAGTGGTCTACACGCTCAACTACTTCACTCCCTATCATTAGTTCAGGTGTCGCTGCAACCCAATCCTGAAGTAACATTTTGCACTTCGAGGGAGAGAATCGCATCTCGAACATGCCTGCATAGTTGCTTATAGTGGTCAGAAGACTCTGCATGTTGTCAGCGTCTTCACCGAGTAAAACTATGTCGTCGGAGTATTCTAAGTCAACAAGTGAGCCTCCCGGTAAAAGTTCAACTCCTGGAGGTTTAGCTGATGAAAGTGCTATCTCTAAAAGTATGTCAATGACAAAGTTAAACAAGAATGGGGAGAGTGGACAGCCCTGACGAACACCACTTGAGGTAATCAGTTCTGATGACAGTTCGCCATAGGCTCTAACTCGACCAGTTGTGTTCGAGTAGAGAGCCTTTATGAGGTTAATGTACTTTTTTGGTACTCCTTTCAGTGACAAACACTGCCATAGAACCGCACGATCAACAGAGTCAAATGCCTCCCTAAGGTCAAGAGATACTACTATTGTGGGACGTCTGAATGTGTGTCTATGTTCTAGGACCTGACGTAGGGTGAATATCTGGCCTATGCAACCACGTCCAGGTCGAAAACCAGCCTGGTTTTCTCTAGTCTGCTCTTCACGAGCTTTGGTTAGGCGACCTAGTATTATTGAAGCTAATATTTTAGACACCATATTACACAAACTGATCCCTCTGTGATTGTCACAGGAGGACTTTTGTCCTTTCTTATAGACTGGCACAATCAGTGATTGGGACCAGTCAGATGGAATTACGTCCAGTTCCCAGATTCTACCTAAGACCTGAGTCAATCTCCCTGCTAGTGCTGGACCACCATCCTTAAAAATCTCAGGGGTCAACCTGTCGGGGCCTGCTGCTCTCCCTCGCTTCAGATTTCCTATAGCTTTTTTAACCTTGCAGAGGGTTGGAAGACTTACATCAATTTGCCATTCAGGACGACTGGGGATCGTGGGTAATTGAAATGTGGCTGAAGGCCAGTTGAACTGATCCCTAAAGTGTTCTGCCCATCGATCCAATCTACTGGATTGAGAATGAATGATATGCCCATCTTTATCTGAGATGGTTTCACTGATACTTGGGTTCCTAATACCGGTTTCTTTAACGAGTCTGAATATCTGCCTATTGTTACCTATTGCCGCTGCCTTTTCCATCTCTCTTGCTTTCGCTACCCACCACTATTCACGATCATTACGTAGGCTTCTTATTAGCCTGCGATTAAGTTGACTCCGCTCTTCGTTATGTTCAAAGCCAGGTGGGATGAGTTTTCGAGCATCTATCAGTGCGGTAGATGCTGCCGAGATCCATTGTTTCTCCCTAACGTTATGGTTTACCTTACTAGCGGATATCACTGCTGTTTCCACAGCTTTTCGGGTGTCATTCCACGCTGCCTCGGGGTGGGCATAACTTACACGGCTGCCTAACTGTTTTTCTAGTTGTTCCTGAAATATATTCTTAGCTTGCCTATCATTAAGTAGAACCCTTAGAGGCTTCCCTGCAGTGTCTTTCCTACGACCAGTAAGACGCAGACAGATACGTGCTCGCACTAGAGCATGATCTGAATCTAAACATGTGCCCCAGAATGAGCGACAGTCTTCTATCGAGCCCCTCCATCGGTGGCTGATAGCGATGTGATCTAACTGGGTCCAACGTTGGGACGAATTCGGGGGTCGCCATGTCAAAAGATGTTTATCCTTATGCTTAAAGTTAGTATTTGCAAGAAATAGGCGGTTATCTGAGCATAGCTGCAACAGACGGTCGCCATTATCTGTTCTTTTCGCCATGACACCATAAGATCCACCCAGGTGTCTTTCCCTTTCACTTAGTTTACCTACTAGAGCATTAAAGTCACCTGCTACTATTACTACATCAGAACGCCTAGCTTTTCGGAGAAGGTCAGAAAGTTTCCTGTAGAACTCATCTTTTATATCGTCTGAGCTGCAGTCAGTGGGAGAGTAGGCAGAGACGACGAAGAGGCAACGACGAGTTTCCCTATCTTTCCGGGTCCTTACTGATCTGTTTAGTCGGACAGCGCATAGACGACTGTCTACTGGAATCCAGTCTAAAAGAGCTAGTTCTGCCCTAGGACTTAATGCTATACCTACTCCAGCGAGGCCACGGGAAGCAGCATCAGGGCTTCCAGATACACGAAGTGTGTATCGAGATGAATCTTTATTTTGATTGGGTGAGGTCAAATGAATGACACTACTCGGATCTTGTATGCGCGTTTCGGAGACGCAGCACACATCGATGGTGTAAGATTCTAGAGTCCTAGCTAAGGAAGCCTGTTGTCCTATTTGGCACAATGTTCGGACATTAAAAGTTCCTACATGTAGTTTAGAGCGTGGTTTCAGGAGACCAGGAATAACGTTCTGTGTACTCGAATCGTTTGCCCTAGCGGTGCGAGGTGATAAAAGGACGTGAGAAGGGTTAGTAGTGGAGATAAGTGTTATTAAGTGTAGGAAGGATTTGAAAGTGACCAACCTGGTCTCGTGTGCAGTTATGGGTGTGAGGGCTAGTATCACTTTCTGACATTAAAAAGCAAATCAAACTTTACAGAAGAATCACTTGATATATATATATATATATATATATATCATTACGAAATCCAGTAGCTAAAAAACCGGTTTGGGTTTCATACTACATACGACACAAACAGAGGAGTTTATTAGTACTTTAACTGGGCAGTCACATACCAACCTAGACGTGAAAATATCACTAGAGAGTGGAAGATGAGGCAGATGCTATTACATTTATCAAATTGACAGTTAGTTTCTTATGATTATACTTTGGAAACGTCAGTAACTAAATTGTTTATACAGACATAAGATGGGCAGAACTTACCAAAATATACAGTTTTTCGGTTGTTGAAATGGCAATCTTATCTTCAGAAGAACCTACACATCCTCCAGTAGTACAAATGTGACCTTTTACTGATAGAACAACGGACGTTATTGGTGAAATAGTAGGATTATTCATGATTAGCACCAGTCCTTACTAGAGTTAGATTTAATGTGACAAAGTGTTTATTGTTAACAGGTGTACAATCAATCAAAGTACGTATTTGAAAAAAGTCACAGAAACTAAAAGTTCAGCATATATTTTATAATAAAACAAAAAGAAATGATACAACTTTCTTGGAGCACTACTTGGTTAGATAGTATACTTCAACTACCGCGCACCAGATAGGTATGCGCCACATAAATCATTCGATTTGTGTGAGGGCTGGAATATTGCCCGGGGGCAAAAGTGAAGCAGGTTACGTGGACACACTACTGCCATTTGAATGGCACATATATTACCGAGAAAAATGCTACCAGACTCGCCACCCGATGGCCCTTCAGGGAAACTGACAAGAAAGAGCTTACGTGTATAGTAATAAAGAGCTCAAACGGCCATGATTTTGAAAACAATTACATCAATTATACAACAGGAATTTCATCTCGGTGTGTAAACGTTTATACTGTTTTACAGGGCCCCCTACCACAAATTTTATGTGTATTCAAAGACTGATTGTCGATAGTTTAACATTTTAGTCAGAATTGAAGGAGTAGAACAGTCTCTGAGTTGCCAGACGCAATTGCAACCGATAATTTGTCATTGTTTTTGTTGAGGATGTGAAATCCTCATATGTAACTTATGAGAAAATAGACTGACACCGACTCTATATGGATGTAAGGTTGAATTCCAACGTTATCACATTACTTAAAAGATTTTCAGTGAGTTGTTCACTATGATCTGCGCTTAGTGCAAATTTTCAAGTCCGTATATTGTAAACGTTATAATCGATAACCAGTTAGCTTAAATTTACGCGTAATTATTACAGAATCTCCGTCAGAAAAGCTTTTATATAGAAACTTAGCGTTTCACTCTAGTTAGTAGGACAGGGAAGAAAATATTAATAGTCACACACACAATAGTCACGTATTGACGTTGGAGTTGGACAGTAGCATCTTCGTGTACAAACGTACCAACTCTACAACATCAAAGTTGGTCGCTTTCAATCAAGCGGGCGAGACTATAATTTATAGACAGTCAGTATAGAGTAGAAATATAGTATACAAAACCAAAGAATTATAGTGGATACATTTCTCTTACATGGTCCGGAAACTTGCCAAGGTTAGAAAGAGGTTCAAATGTTCTAAAATCGTAATGCATACGGTAGAGGAACTCATCGATATGACTCCATAGTAGTCGGTCTCTGGAGCCATGATAAGGTCGCATAAACTCTCAGCCTCGACCACATAGCTTCAATATTGTTTGTGTGCACTCCGGTTGTGTAAGCTTGTCATTTTTATTACGCATATATCCCTACAATACCCATACCACTGAACAGCCGAAGCTTCAGTAAAATCTGCGAATATTGCAGCCAATGTTACTGGTGTTTTTTATAATATAGTTCGCAGTCATCATTGTAATTTGCCTTAGTCTCAATCTGGATCGAGCGAAAAAAGTTTCTATTATAGCAGACGTGTTCCTAAGGTCACCTAAGGACAACTTGACGGTAGTCTGCACAAGGTCTACAAGTCATTTGATGACAGAAATTACAAATAAGGGAACTCCTTAATAGTCCCATTTATTGTAGCCACTCAATCGTCACGTCTCCTCTAAAATCCTTTGTGAACCGATCGTACATGAGTATCACGTACTGAAATTGGCGCAGTGACCTAGGAATCCCTCAAACGCTTGTGATTGCCTCGTCCATAAATTATAGCCTCACCGTCTGATTCATATTTAATTTCAACAGTAAGAACAGTTACTTATTTTTTCTACTCATCGGGATATTACAAATATATTTTTTATTTATAAAACCTAGCAGTTTGTTGAGTGTTGGTGGTTGGTAAAATGACTACTTACGCTGATTACGAGAAGCAAATTCAAAGACAGATGCCGCAAATTTGTTGTAATGTATTATTTGAATTGGCAAAAAAGCCGCTAAATGTTTGTAGATAGTTACAAAACTAATTTAGGACTCCTTAGTACAAAGGGATTAGGATATCGGGTCACTTAAAACCAGAGATCAACCAATCTCATAAGAATGCAGATGAACCGATGAAATTGCGTAGTAGATGAAATGCTGTCATTTGAATAATTGCCACATACTAGACATATTCACATGTAAAGCAGAAACAGGTACATCACGAAACAGTTGGTCCTACGTTTGAAAAGTCGTTTGTCCTTGAACAAAACTTCAATGTATGATAATTTTATGAGGAGTTTGCATATGCAATGCATTCGAAACCTTGAGCCATCAACTTCTAGCTTCAATAATCAGATTGTTTAATCTCACTATTGTGGTATTGTTGATTAATATCTATTTCTCTCATTATCTAGTGTTAGTGCGTTCTGTGTCCTTCATGAGTCATCGGCTATCTTTTATCCCTCTTTTCTCTTCCGGAAAGTTTCACATATTGCTCCTCACAATTCTCCAGAACTCAAAACATCTTGAGGACAAATAAGAATCTTCCAATGTTCGAACGTTACACATAGACCGATTGATATCTTAGCTCCCTCTTCTAGATGTTAGTTGTTAAATTACTAATAAGATAATTTAAAAAAAGTTGTTGAGTCAATCAGAATCATACATTTTATTACCTCCTGAGGAACATGGACTTAGGAGTAAGCACTCAATCTCGACTAACTTAATAACTGAGAAAAGGTCACTGATAGTAGTTTGAAGAGGTAAATATGAGGATACGACTGGTGTTCTAATTTGACAATTAGCGGCCAATAGTACCTTCTATATTCGAAACCTTCTTACGCCCGATAGAAATCAGAAGTCAGACGAGAAGAGGTAGAAAAGATATATTTGATATGTTGTCAATATATCGAGGAACGTTTATTCTAAGCTGATTAGTGAAAAGTAGGAGCTGTGTCCCAAGCCGAGTTGAAACGTGATCTGGTACGGATGCATGACCGAAAGCCTTCACTTAAACAAGTCCACTTAAACAACGTGGTCAGCATCCAATGTCGAACACTTAATGAGCTATTGATTTTGGGGAATTATTTACAGCTACAAATAAATTCCCAAAAGAAGTAATTCTGTTAGTCCTCGACATAGATGATAACTGCATTCGCTTTACTGGACACGCCCTAGTTGAAGGAGCTCCGTCATCCATCCTCACAAGAACACGAAATGATATCCCGTGCTACTTACTTCCTGCAACTACCAGTATTCTTGGACCAAACGTTTCTCAGCATGTCAACAACCTTCCAGGTATATCTTACAACTCATTTGTCCTTGACTTCCGATCCAAATGGGTTGGTATCCTTCGGTTATAAACGTGTTACAGACAAAATAGTTGCCAAGCCCTAATTGTCGGTGGTATTTTTAAGCTCAAGTTAAAGGTTCTTCTGTTTTTCTGATATCCATAGATTTTAGCAAAGCACTCGATAAGGCTTCTCACGTGCATGAATATAGAAGCTCTCAAACTTTGGAATGGCAGGTGCCACAAAAATGTGGACAAAATGCTAAACACAGGGTGGGTGGGAAGACTGGATATTATCTGAATGGAAGCTGGCTAAAATTTATGTAGCCCGATGAATCATATTAGGTCCTATACTTTTCATCTTTGTGTATATAACTACTTAAGTTGTCGATACGGCTATTCTCTTATGATATCCAATTCTGGAGGACGACATGTGATGAGGCTGATCATCTTCATTTGCGTGCTAAAACACACAAACTGGTTAAGCAGTCCGGAGGTTGGTACCTAGAAATATATACCAGAAAATATGAAACGCACATCGGACGTCAGTATAATATCGAGGGCACATAGCATCTTTGGTGAATAGAAAAAAAGAGACTTGGAATTATCAGTAACGCACGGTAAAAGAAGATAAATTATATAACATGCATCAGACACAGCTGGACCAAGAGGGAGACGGTAATCTTCGTGTGAGTACATGTTTTCAATTCTTTTCTTAAAGCTGTTCACTGGTGGAGCCACGTTCACTTCATCAGGGAGAGCATTCCAACTGAGTGCAACCTTTAACGAGAAAAAGTAGGAGTGTACTTGGGTGTTCGCTCTTTGATATGCAATCCCTCGAGAAGCGAGGCGGAGATGTTCTGGTGATATGGTCGTAATGGGGTGGATTGGCGTACTTAATATGCTCTGTGTTATCAGCAATACACCTCTTGTTTTCCTGTGGCTGAACGAAAATAATGTAAGGCGTTATAAACTGCCCTCGTAAGGTTTGTATTAGACCTATCACCTACTTCGTTGTCCGTCTCTGTACGCGGAATAAGATATTTATCATCTCTTTAGAATAGAAGGATCGCAAGAACATTGTAGGCTCCCAGATGGGGCTGTGTGTGTGTGTTTTGAACAGCGTTAAACACAACTCTGATAAATGTGCCAGGTTGTCTACTGATAATGCAGACAGTAGTGTTTGCCTTGGCTACATTTCCTGAGTAACCTATATCGATGTCTAGTCTCTCTGTGGTTATGAGCCTGAAAAGGCACCATTAGGAAGCAATCAGGTGCGAAGTCCCATGCTCAATGTAAGTGCTTTTCGTCAAACTAGGCAGAATCTTCATGACATGATATTTCTGCTGATCAAGTTTCAATCCGCTTTCTACTGCCGATTCCTATATTTTTTGGACTTGCTCTTGAAGCTCCAGTGGATTTTTCTCTTTTTTTATAGATCGCCAGACCTTTGAGGCGCTTGTATATATTAGTGCCGCTGAGCTCACTTTATCCAAAAGGTAATGAGCAAAGTTCCCTAAAAGGGGTGGATCTATGATTGTTCTTTGGGAACCCCTTGATATTTGAGCCTTTCAATTAGTATGCACCCTATTTACAGTGATAAAAAGCAATTAATACACATATGATCGTTTTGAAACAATCAGGGTAATAAGTCAATAAGTGAAAAAGTCGAAATGAGGCTTTAGTAGAATGAATTGGTTTATCCAGGAGGTAGAATAGCCCATTAGGGCTCGACATAGCACCAGCCACTTTGGTTTTCTCACTTTTTTCTCGCATTGCTAATTGGTTTGCCGACTTATTTATTTGCTTCTTGAAACGATCGTCTCTAATCACTCAAAACGTCACTCTATTATTTCCCGCATTGTAATCAATCAACTCCCCGCCTTATAACGAGATGGCTGCCTGTATCCAAAAGCTCTACTGCCCTGAGTTGAACGCACCAAGATTTTAAAATATGCGATCCCATGAACAACTACCAAATTGACGACAATTAGTGCGGTCGATCGGCTAGACCACTTTCCTCTGAAGATTACCAAACACTCGGAACTGCACTGAAATGCGAAGAGATAGACCAGCATTCGTGAGCTCGGGGCAGAGGTATCGAATACGAATTAACATTGGTCTGCTGAGAAGTGAAGATTCATACTGCAATTTATAAGGTGTACTGTATCTAGATCCCGAAGCGGCTTTCTGAATCTGGAGGATTTAGTGGTGCCACAGCCAACGCAAATATAATAGCCTCATCTTCTAGATGAAGCACAAATCAGTTTCCCTTCACGTTTATCTCCATGTTTGTTTGTGCTTGAGGGATTTACAGCACATTACGATTAATTATTCGTACCAGTATAGAAAACCTTGAGCAGATTTATTACTGACCACGAAGAACGACAGGATCTACTAATTTAATAATATTCTTGCTAATGGATGGAAATGAATGGATATGTATGAGCCTGTACTGATTAACGGCCTACTATTAGGACGTAAGCAACTATTTTGTGGAGATTCATAACCACAATCTGATGAACACAGTGTTAGCTACTTATTGCAGATTCTGTAAAGGGCATTGAGTCGCGATTGACTATGATCATGTTACGTCTGGCCGATTGTGAACGCTATATTCGCTTCCCTAAGCTAGTTCTGTATCCCCGAGCTAGAACTATACACCGCCACTTGAAGACCAGAGAAAAGGCACAAAGTGTGAGGGAAGCACTTTACTACAGGGTTCATTTATGTACATAAAATATAGGTATTTTATAGTTATTTAAAAGTTCTTTAGTTTTACCGAAAATTCTAGAATACTGCTAAGCATAGTAGCAGTACATTAATCAGCCAATCAGGATCTCCACACGTGACTTTCTCATTTTCGCTATTTTAGTAACATAACTTCACACAACTTCTAATTAATCGCTGATTGGTTGAAATGCTCCTTGATGACCCCTGAGCTTGTTATGTCGCTTGCGAGAAAATTGCAGGGTCATCCCAGATCACCACTACAATAAGATCACGTGCCAGATATCGACTTAGATCACTCGGTAGGCCAAAAACCAGAAGACTGTTAATGGTTCAAATAGGATATATTTGTTGGCGATCTCGTGGTATCGAAATAATACCGAGACATGCCAAAGATTACAGGCAAAACGGCGGAGCGTAAGCTCATTTGTACAAGCAAATTGGACAAGGGAAGGAAAAATGCGTCTAGTACAGTTAAACAATCACTGGTACAATTGATTATAATAATTGTTTCCATTACACCAACCGCGTTCTCGTCATAAAAGTAGGCCACTACAATCCTTTGATAGTATTGCTTTTTCAGTTAGTCATAAGTGACGTTGACTCGCGCATCAACTCGTGTTGCCATTAGCACTGAGGTAAAATTAACGAGGGAAACCTTGAGCAGTCGAATTATTAACAGCATTATCAGAAAGTACTAACCATGGATGTAATTAAGAACAGATGAGTTCATGCAATTGAAAATGCATATAATAATTTTTAAACTCAATAACTAGAAAAGTGAGGAAGTGTGAGTGCATGGACGCCAATACGTCCAATCTCGAGCTATACCACATAACAGCCAGTTATTGGTTCTAATGGTCCCTTGGACCCTAAGGAGGTGAGCCGTACCTTCTTGTACTGTTCATTTCGACAGCCAATGAATTCATGGACCAATTACATGCCCAGCTTTGGCCTGCAAGTGACAAAACAGATGAAAGTGAGCATAAAATATTGTGTACGTTAATGGCAAGGAAGACAATATTGAACATTTTCACCAAGTCTAATTGAATTCCCAAAGAAATAAAATCAATCTCCTGAGTACATGAAAGATTAGGGCTAACTGAATCCTACGCTTACTAACCATCAAGTTAATAAATATAAAACTCGACTGTAACAATTTTATTTAAAAGTATTTCTGAGTGAGATTCGAAAAATTCATAACATTTACGATATTATTAAAAAAGAAATCAGCAAAGAAAACACTTGTAACAACAAAAGCAGAGTGCAACAAATAACAAGGAAATTAATGGGAGTTAATTAGATCATCTGTTGAACAGTTAAAATAAGGAAAACAAAAGAACTGAGATATCGTCACTTACTGTGACAATATAAAGTGATCATTAAGTATGTTATTAATATTATTAAAAGAGACAATAATTTTATCTTAGAAAGACTTATTTTTTGCCAAATAAGGTTTTTATTTATAAAAAAATTCAAATCATTTAGAACGATTAATATTACCGGGATGAGAGGAGGGGGAGGGATAGTGATTAAAAAAAACAAGGAAGTCACAAAATTATACAACGATACTATCTAAAAACAATAGAAATTATAGTTACAGAGTGAATAAATTCTTTACCAAAAATATGAGAAGACAGAAAAGGACATCTATAAATTTGTACAGAATCAACATCATTGTACGAAAGTGATGAGATGAAATACAATGATAATGAGACTTTAGAATACAGAGGGGAACCAAAGCAATCAAGCAGTTGAGGGACATACAATTTTAGCCACAATAAAGCCATTCCCGAAACTTGGAGCATTGTCTTTCAATAGATAGTTCTTTGGAGAAATGGTTGCGTAACAATACTTGTTTCCAGAAAGCTTTCTGGAAATCACATAATTTCAGCCTCCAAAATGACTGAATCATACTTTCAACACTAGGACATCCGTCGTCATATTCCGTGCTATGCACACTAACATTGTCAGTTGGACTGCTCGAAGTACAATTATGAGATAATTCAACATTTTGTAATTCTTGTGTGAACAATTCAAGGAATAAACAATTCACAGAATCCAACATTTCTTCTTTATCTTCGTCTACACTTTCTACGATTACTCGTATTGTCTAAAAATATCAGTAATAAAAAAGGAAGCTTGAAATATACATTAGAACATTGTGAATATGAAGATAAAACAAATTAGTAAGACTTAAAACATATTTTTGAGTGGAATTTCATTAGTTCATTATGAGGTATACATATTTTGTCCACAGATCTTATTTTTTTACGAAAACCTCGATAAAATAGTGAGTGATTTAAACCTGAGTTTTACTGATTGAATACTGGGTAGATTGCAGATGCCCAATCAAAATATTCTTACCAATAGTTGACTAAGACAATTCTCAGTTAGTCACAACGTAGAACCTGGTACGTACGTACATCGTTTTAAAGATTCTATAGTCATAGAATTTGAGAAAATAACCAGAAAGGGAAACAGGTGTTCCTTCGATCATTAATTGTTTTTGGATCTTCAATAGAGGAGAGTGTCATCTTCTATAAAAGCGTGCAATCAATCAAACAAACGTGTTGACAAACCAAACAGAACCACAAAAAAATAACATGGTTTCTCCTTTTTTTCATGGATAACTCCAAACCAAACACAACTTTTCACAGTCATAGCTGATATCTTGTAAAAAGCAGTTTCCATATTAACACTTGACACGTACTGATAAAAGTACACACAAGAAATCATTAGACTGTACTTTTCGAAATTATTTTCTTTATGATAAACACATATCGTCACCACACACCAAAAAGTAACTTAAACTCCTTGTTTGAAAAAATACATGAGACAAACAAACGCCAACTAAATTTCTTACACGTTAGCAAACAAAGTGAACGGTTGAAACTTTGAAAGTCTGAGAATGATCTCTTACCTCTGTTAAACATTGAAACTGATTATAATTCAGTGAAATCTGTTCACTTATATCTCTTGAACTGTATTTATTGCTGATAAAACCCAAAGGATCTGGAATAACAATTGGAATTTCATTGGCTTTCTTATGTGCGATTTCTAAATTATATTCGGAAACATGACTTTTTGGAACTTCAGCATTTTTATTATCAGGTGTTTTCTGTTGTTCTATACACTCCTCAGCAATAATATCAGTACCTATCTCTACTGTATCGAAATCTGATTTGGAACAGATATGATAACTGTCAATACTTGTATCGCAAGAAAGAGAATTATTACTATCTTTTTTACAACTTTCAATATTGTTGAATGGCAGCATACCACCTAGTATATTCCACTTGGATTCATTTCTTTGTTCAAGTGTAACCCAGTAAGGGGATCGATGTAATAAGAATAATAAACGTAGTTTTGTATTTAGATCATGACCACATATACTTTCCATTAACCAAACAAAACTCTAAACAAATAGAAAAGGGGAAAATGAAAACAAAAAAAAAGAAAAGTTAGACATACGTCGCCTGAAAAACAAAGTAATTAAGTGGAAAACGAATATGTTGGATGAATAAGAAACCATCCAAACTACAGGTGCACGTAGCTGTTCAAGAAATGAATTGCATTTCTAAAGGATATATATATATATATATATATATGTATGGGGAAGTTGCGTATCAGTATCAGAACATGAAATATGTAACCCACAACATAACTGATGAGGCCGTAATAAAGTAAGATAAGGAATTCTTTCCAAAAGAAAACACACTGGAACAAATGAAGAATATTTACATTTATCTTTAAATGTTAGAAAACGCTCGGATATTTGTCAGTTTTTTTATCTACGAAGATTGAAAAAGTACAAAAATGAATTTAACTGTTAAAATGCTAAAATCTCCACAAATCCTCTTCCTGATAATTACAAAAGTGTCAAACGCCAAAAGTCTATAGTTTACACATCACTTTCGAAGTCCATGTTTTATATCCACGAAGTAATATAGAGGAGACAGTTGTAAAGTAAACAACCCCTTTGGTTGGTAAACGCTAACTGATCCTTCTAAATTTATGACCAGATTTCGTCGGTACAAACACACCACAGCTGATGAAACTCCCGAAATAATTGAAGTGGTTAAATGCACCTGAATACCTCACTCACCATCGTTAGTCTGGTCAGTGATGTACACCAGTTCTGAAGAAACATTTTGGATTTGGATGAGGGGGAGTGAATCCCAAATATGCATGGATTGTTGCTCAAACAGACTAGATGACTTTGCATTTTATAAACGTACTCTAAGTTGGTAAGTGAACCACTAGGTAAGAAATCAACGCCTGAAAAACTGGAGGGATGAAGAGTCGCTTTTAGGAGGACATTTATGATGGGGTTAAGTAAAAAAGGAAAATGGACGAACACCACTTGTGACAATTCTTCATAAGCCCTGATCCAACAATAGGTGTCTGATTAGAGAGCCTTGACAAGGTCTAGGTAATTTCTTAGTATGGTGCTATGATTTACAGAAAATTTTCTACTCAGTTAGCTTTAATACATTCCATTTTCCCAAAAGCTATATTCTAATTAGGTAATCTCAATCTCAACCGTAAAATGACATAAGGCCATCACACTAGTATAATTTTATCAAGACTACTACTTAGAGAATAATTTAAATTTGCTGATCACATTTTCGTCAGACAAATTCATATACATTTTTTAAAAATTTCTTACCTTAAAGTTAATTAGATTATCTTCATCTTGATCTAACAGATGAAAGCATGGAGAGCCTAAACGTTGAGCTGCAGCACCCCATGGAACTAATCCCTGGAATAGACTATTGAATTGACGTGCGTCAATACGATGAACATCATACGCTGGACGATTTGGATTATTTGTTTCATTATGAGTTTTAGCTGGTGCTATTTGATGGATTCGCTCATATTTCGAAAGAATATAATGATCCTACAAAATAGAATTATCATTAAGATAGGTTTTTTCGAAAAAAAAAACAGGAAGTACTTTTATATATTTATTTATGATGTAAATGATACAATAATGTAATACGCGTTACTGAAGAAATATGCAAAACACTGGCATAAAACTAAATCACAATTTATTATTGTCAACTATTAAAAGGCATCATAAATGTCCAAGTGGAATATCACTTAAAGTTAAAACAATTAAAAATTTTATAAGGTCGTTGGAGGTAGTCAACAGAAAACTCCTGGACCTAGGTTTCGTGCTATTTGTCACCTATCAGCGAGATGCACCTATAATCTTGGGAGAATTGATACTATACTCTCTGGTGAATCTGATCCCGTGTCACTCAACTTTACAATCGAATGGCACGAAACCTAGGTCCAGAGGTTTGCTGTCAACTACCTCCAATTACCGCCTTACATCTTAACATAGTGCACACAATATTAAGCCACCTAGACGAGTGGTCATATTGAGACTTGATTGATAAAATTCGATCTGTACAAAGGACTTGACATACATCACATTGATCACTACCCAACGATCAATCAGTTGTAATTTAAAAGTTTATGCTTATCCTCGAAAACGACAATATTACCTTTTCTGAGGTAAATTAATTACCTAAAACGAAACTGTGACAAATACATCATAAGATCGAATAATAACCTACGGACTAAAGTAAGAATGTTTCAGTCCAACTGTCTACCAAACGTTACACACTGCATTAAATCTGTTTATTAGCTATAACGTTATTTCTTTAATAATCGCCTTTCGGTATGCCATACCATAATACTCATTACTAACAAGTAGTAGTACTACTACATAGTAACTAATAGATCACATTTCAATCAACAGAAAATTCATATAATTATAATCAAAATACCATCGAAAAGAAAGAAATACTGACGACAGAATGGAAATCTTCTAACACACAGTTCATCTTTTGGTTTTAAAAATTTAATGATCAATGAAATATTCGATTTATATGCAGACCGACAACAGGGAGATAGGTCCATTTACTGAGCTAGTTGTGCGACAGTCACATAACATCAAGGGAGATAAACAGAATTAAATAAGATATAGATTTGTAACTAACTGTTATCAGCATCCAAATAAGTAAATCACTGAAGCGCAAGGATATAACTTAGGACAAACCATTGAGCTTACACAACTGTTAACTGAGAAGTGAAACGTCGATTTTTTTCATTACGTAGGTTGACATATACTTTTATTTTGCAATATGTTTTTAGCATAAGATTCTTGCAGTCAAATTGAGTGTAGTTTCACATCGTGCGCCTCTTTAAAATACCACAGTTTTTCAATACTTAATGCACATCCCGATGAAATTACAAGGCGATGTAAGTTAGAACATCATTGGAAACTGAGAAGCACTGCATGGTCGTTTCATCCTAGTATGGGAATTCTCAACAGTGCGCATCCATGATCCTCCACGCAGGAATTATGTACAGTTTGTTAAAAGTTAAAAATTGCTACTGTTATTTTCCTGAAGGAACTTACTCTGTAACATTCAAAAAGTAAGATCAGATCTCCAGGAAATTCACGACCTAAACTTCTTACAACTTCTTTAGAAGTGTAATCACTAAGTGATTGAATTACTTTAGGTCTATATTGTAAACGCATCCGATCGATAAGTTCATTTGTAATATTAAAATTCCGATCAGCTGAAGTTAACAGATTATATATAGATTCATTTGATGTATGATCTTGATGACGTAATTTATTAAAATATGCATTCAATTTAGTTAAAACACTACTGTCATCATTTTGTTCAACAGATTTCTTGATAAACGATGTATGCTGACGAAGTACATCTAAAGCAATTTGGAAAATAACCTAATGAGTGGTAAGAGAAATGAAAAACAATACCATGAAGAATAACAAAATGAACTATAAAGTATACATAAAACAGGCGGGAATACTTTGAAAAGTACTGAATTACTAAGGGTTCTGGTAAACAATACATTAACTCTAGAGTATAAATGAATATCGACTGTATATTTGCTATAACACAAAACTACTGGACAGAGTGATGTTAACTAGAAAAATCAACGATCTTTTTTCATATTACTTGACCAAATAGTCAAATCCAGTTGTTACAAGGGTACACTTTATTTGATATCAATTGTTAGGAGATAATAACTATATAAGTCCTAATTATTAAGTGTATTACTTACTGATAAATCTAAATGAATTCATTTTCTCTTTGAATCATGTGAAGCCAATATAATATTGATTGTTAACCGATGTTATGTTTGTCTATTCTGCCGATAACGTTGCATTGTAGTCGCAAGTCTAATTGACTTGAGATATTGAATACAATATATTTTGACTTAATAACTGGGTTTTTTCATGTCATAAGAATTCCATCACTCTTCGTAAAAAGTTTAATGTTTATGTAATTTGATATTCACTTATTAGTATACATTAGATTCTAGCAGAATTATGATTTCTGAGATTTATTCCAGTCTGTGTATAGACTATAATTTTTTACTCTGGTAAACAAGATCAATTACTATGTAGAGTTTATGGTATTTACCTACTGAGTGAGCTATATCGCAAATCAATTAAAGGTAGACTGAATGTCCATTGAATTTCAGCTGTGTTAAGAAGATAAAGTTCTACCAACAAGACTTGAAATCCCTGAGCTCTATCGCTGTAAAAGTTGTAGGTTCAAACTGGTAAGAAATAACAGTTCAGTGTTCCCTGATTTGTAATGCTACCTTAACTGAATTCAATCTTTGAAATATAACACCCATTAATTTGACAATTCTCAAAAAATCTATTCGTCAAGAATAACCAATCATCAATTCAATTAAGACTAAAATAACCAATATCCAATGACAGGTCATTGAAAGATGAAACAATTTATAATCCCCATTACTCATTTTAACAGTGTACCACTAACACAAAATACCCAACCACTTGTTTGATTTGGAAAAATTACTATTCTCACTTTCATTATCATAACACGTACCTAATGCAATCTAAAATAATAACTTCAAAGTGCTTACGTTTCGGACTTCATCCCCTCCCACCAGTGAAATTATCTGGACATTAATCACTATGATTACTGAGCGCAATTACTGGAATCGCTTTCCTGAAGTTTTTTTTTATATTCAAGCTATCTCCGATTAATTTAAATATCCGTCGAAATCAGTAAATCATGAAAAATCCACTTAGCACTTATATAACGGTGAACCTATCAAAGCACTCTTTGTTGCTTTTCTCATGTGTTATCTGTACTCGTTCTCTTTCTTGGCTGAAGATGACTACAATTACTCTGTATTGACAACTCTCAATACACTGTTCATGCAACAACAGGATGTCTTACTTCATCTACTAAGAAATAGTTGTTCCTAATCGCTCTCTTATAATGTTATAACTCTTGTTTTAAAGGTTCTAACAAAACAGTTTACGAACCACATCTTTTTAGCATCATATCTCTGTTCTTTAAATGTAAAAATGCTTACTTTATCAACCTGATCGTGTTTGTCAATCAGTATGCATTCTGTAATTACTTCTAGAATGTAAATTTATTTACTTAATGGAAACAAATACCTTAATACCAATCGGGGAAGAACTAATAACATGTGGCTTAAGCTCCTATTACCGCCATAGTAGATTGAATTTCACCATACTATGATAAAGGCTATTAACATCGTACTTGCAAAACTGAAACATAATTAAAGATTCCCATTGTGAAAATTCATATTCCTTTTATTATAAGCTCTCATTTGACCTGTTGACTACTACTTTACGATTTACTATTTTTAAGTTATTCCCAATTTATTAGTTACAGCCTGTGAATTGTTATTTTCTATTTTACGGTATTATGCGGTCTGATTTGCTTGTATATAAACTGCGTATGTTTGAAATACATGATCATATAGGAGAGGCTGATATTGGTTTCCTGGACTGAACTGTTTGAGTTAGACGAGAAGCCATTATCTCATTATGTTGAAACATAATTATTTAATCACAAATTCTATTTAACCTTCATCCAGATGAAAACAGATGAAACGTGAAGACAATAAGTTTTGCAGAGATAAATGCTTACACGTGTAGTTTCCTTATGATGGTTAAAAGTTAAAAACTATGTATCTCTGAACAAAAATATCGATAACGAATGTCCACTGACCCCTGAGTTTACAGGCTGTGCTATTTAAGCATAACAGGTTGGTAGATATCTATAATAAGTAATTGGAACTATTTGCTTCATCAGTTAGCATCTGATGGATAGCAATTCATATTGTATTGGTGGGTAATATTTAGAACTACAGCAACACATGAGAACATAGTATTAAATCCTAGAATATGAAAAAACAAACCTAGAATACTGACATCATTATAAGAAAAGAAAACTAGAGCCTTTGAGCAGATGACAAATACCATTTAACAAATGTTACTGTAGTAAACATTATAGAAATAACTTACACGAGCTCCACCATAAAAGAAAAAATCCAAAACGTATACAGCACAATGAAAGGACATAGTACTAATGAAAGAAAGAATTAATGAAATAGAAGTTGGTCGGAAAAAATAACTAGTATAGAAATAAGAAAAGATACTTAAAACAAAACGTCAAAAATAAGTAATTTTATTAAAGTTAGATAATGAGCTCATTCTTATATGATACACATCGGTCAAATGTACCTGCATTTCAGCGCTGATACTGAGTAGTCCTAAATATAACAAACTTGCGTCCAGGATTTTACTACTAACCACTATTTAATTTAAAAAAAAAACAACTTATGACTGGAAGGTAATGTCAAGACAGTCCTCTCAGTATGCATACATGGCAACAGAGACCAGTCAGTTATAGTTCTGAACACGGCGGGAAGAAAGACAAACAATTAAAAATAGTTATTTACAGGTTTCAGTTTGTAATTAAACGATGGATTTCAATTCACAAAAAAGTATAGCTCAAAGTATATTTGGTGCTTATTAGAAATTCAAAAACCATATAAGAACTAGGAACAATCATTATCATGATTGTTATATTTTAACGAATTATAAATGGATGGTAACTGTTAGGAGTTATTTATGGATTATTAATATTTTTTTATTTATTTAAACACATAAATATTGGTACAAGGAAGCACCAGATAAATATACGCCTCACAAATCTCATTCGATTTGCTTGAGGGCTGTGATACTGCCCAGGTGCCCAGACTGAAGCAGGTGGTTTTCTTAGGGGACCACACCCGGAGCCTTTGACCTAAAGATCTGGTCCACAAGGCAGTGGAACATCGTGAGGAGATGCAGTCCCATGGTAGCCGGTGATCAACGGTTGATTCGTACGCCATTTGTTCCCTCAGGATACTGGAGCCCATGTGCACCATTGGTTTGGAATCAGGGTTTTCCAACTCCCCTAGGTGGATCCTCCACATCCACCAACCCGGTTAAAGCGCCGGACATTCGCTTTTTGTCCTCTCACTTTCGTAAACAACACCCCCGCCACGAGAAGGCAGTGAGTAGGACTTCCCTGGCAGAGGCTATATATTCGCTGGCCATGTGAGAGCATTTCGAGAGGGAGAGCGGACTCTCTCCATTCTCGGCCGTACCAGGGCATTTTCTTATGGTATAACTATAAAGTAACTATATTATATGGACATTCATATTCCTTTTATTATAAGCTCTCATTTGACCTGTTGACTACTACTTTACGATTTACTATTTTTAAGTTATTCCCAATTTATTAGTTACAGCCTGTGAATTGTTATTTTCTATTTTACGGTATTATGCGGTCTGATTTGCTTGTATATAAACTGCGTATGTTTGAAATACATGATCATATAGGAGAGGCTGATATTGGTTTCCTGGACTGAACTGTTTGAGTTAGACGAGAAGCCATTATCTCAGAGGACCAATAAGAAGTCAGATTTGACTCTGGGCTGCTACTACGGGTTCACGCGTTATTAGTTCGTCCCAGCACCAAGGTTACACAAGTCGTGTTCTAACTGATGATCTTGTCATATGATATATTGACAGGACATGAGAACATAACAACGACCACATGGTGTTACTATACTTTCCAAATATATCAGAGAAATGAAAATAATTAGTAGGATAAAATAATTAATTTCATATCATGAAAGTTTATCATGTTGATTGAGGATGGTAATAATAAAAAAGAACTGTTCCAGCCCATTTAGATGGATAAATTTAGCAGAAAGGTTCTCTTTCTATCAACCCCCAGAAAGTGGGAGGCCAATCATAATAAATACATAAAAGGTGACAGGACAGGTATCTATTTAACAAATAATTAAATTCAAGGTCGGTGGAGCAAGTTGTCAGTTGCATATGGAGAATTTCGAATAGCTCACTTCTGTTTGAATTTTGTGCTATTGATCTTGTCTAGAGAGATAATGAAAGCTAAGCGAATACTCTACTTCAATCAGAGAATAAAACTTCATCAGAATAATCTAACATATATCAACTGTAAACGATGCTTACTTTAGAAACAACGTCAAAAACCAACTTAATGGTAGCATACTAATTAACTCTGAGCCTAATGACTGATACATAAATTGATGATTGAAAGATGTTGAAAAACCACCAACCATTGATTCGATATTATATTCAGAAGTGACAATATTTTTCAAACTATCTTGTACTGGAATTTGTAAAACTGATTTTAGTTCAGGAATATATTCAATGACTAAAGCATGAAGTACTTGTTGATCAACACGTACACCAGCAACACGACTATCATAGTAATCAGGTAGTAAACGTTCACAGATTGCTGTCAGTAACCAAAATGATTGTTCTTCTGTACAATACAGTAATAAAACACTGGCTACTATATTCATTGATTGACAGTATCCTGAAAAAATAATTTATAAGAACTAAATTATTTTATTTTTCGTATAGTACTAATAATGGTAATTTTTAACAAAATCATATTGTGTAATTTATACAGTTAAAAACTTTTTAATAAATCATAAGACAAATACAACATATTATAAAGGATTGGCTTAAAAATTAAATGCACTTTTAATATTGTATATCCGTTATTTCAAATCATTTGAAGTTGAAAAGATAAATGACACCAGTTAGATTTATTTAATGAATTACATACAGAAGATGTTTGTTATTGAAGTACATGATCTAGTATTTAGTTGTGTGAAATAGAAGTCTGCATAAATCTATAAATCACCTACCTTCTTTAACTATGTAGATATTAAGGTACATTTACCTATTTCTTAAACATCTAATTATGTATACTGACTACATAATATTCTTATATACTTTTAATTAGGGCTAAAAACATAATAAATATGATAAAAGTATGATATGCGAGCATCCTTGAGTTAAACGATCCAAATTAAGATAACTCCTCATAGATTTTGCAAGAAATTCAAAGTGCAGTGAAATAGATAACTTGCATGTTGTTATTAACTAGATGAAAATTGACAATAATTGATTATTAAAATGGTCAGAATCAATGAAAATATTTACTACGCAACTAAAATGTAAAGTTAAGATGTTGCTTAACCTAAATGACAAAGTATATATGCTCCTAAGGCGGATTGTGCGTCAAAGTGCTTAATGCATAGTTGAGATTACTTAGTGAAGCAATATGATATTCTAACTCTTACTGCCAATCACAACCCTAAGTTTGTAAACAGAAGGGTGGCAAAGCATTGGATTACAACTGATGTCAATTTGTGATGAAAACACCAACCCTAATTTGTAAACCTAACTCAAAACGTCAACCTCATTCTTGATACTTAATCCTAGACTTTTACGTTATAACCGATGTCATGTGGTAATGGAAACTCTATGGAGTGATAACCCTAACACACAACAGTATTCCGACTCCTAATATGTGAACTTGGCATTTTTCCTCTAATACAAGAAATAAGTTGATATGTGAGGGCTAATTATTCAAATTAAAGCTGTTATTTCACTGGTTTTCATTGTTAATTGTTTTATAACTAGGAGGCGTTTCCAAGTTGTCAGTATATTACACTCTTACCATAAATATTGCAAATTTCAAGTGGAGACACCGTTAAAAGTGGTTTATATTTTCTTCCATGTATGCCATTTAGTGAAACAGGATATGATCGAGTTGAAGTTCGTAAATTCAAAACGCGATACAGACAAGTAACAGTACGTTATCCAGTACACATATCAGATGATGGATAAAGGTATAGGAATAGAACAAATCAGAAACTTCTTTTCATATACTTTTTAAAGCATTTATGGTTAAAATGTGCATAGTTGCAATGTTTTACTTTTTGTACCCAAAAACGTTTTACTACGATCAAACATATAGTAAAAGACAAAACGATTATTATTATTGATTGGTTTTAGAATGAAACGAAACTGTTCAATAGTTCTTGAAATCTAACTAAAATCGAAAGGTTTATTGGAAACATAAACAAGACATGGACTATCAGAACATTATTCATTGTTAAATGGTGGATATTAAATACTCTAAGTAGATCAGTCTACTTTCTTTGGTTAAAGCATAAAAAGACATTCGCAAAAGTCAGTGTGATCTCTTATCACTGTGTGAGGAGGTTGATATGGCTGAACAGTTATTATTTATATGAGCCATACGATGTTACATCAGATGTCGTACCAGTGGTTTCTACGTGAACATATTAGCTGTCAAAACAGAATAAAATATTAGTAAATAAGTACACTAACTAAATACAGGATTATATTAAGTAATAAACACTTAGTACACAATTACTAACTAGCAAACGAAAACGATTTTATTTCTAAAAAATGTCGGTTCCGTCGACAAATAAGCCAACCTACCAACATTAGGATTATGATAAGCATACGCAGTAAGAACTCGTCGAAGAGACTGAATACCCTCTGGTGTATGATACGCAGGATGTTCTGGGAATGAACGGTGTAAATCGCGTTCAATTTCTTCATTGACAAAATTATTGCAACCTTGAACACCGTTGATTAATTTATCATAATATCCTGGATTGGCAAACATCTATGAAATATAATTACAGACAAATAATATACTAATTATGCATGAGATAATTATGTGCTGAGTTAAATCGACTTTTTTGAAAAAAGCTTTATATTCTGAACGACTTCGAATCAAGCACTCAATTGATAAGCCTAGATTCAAACAATTGTTAAAACCTATAGTTTATTTCAACGAACCCCGCTTTATATTGTAAGTATCTAATCATATTAATGCTCTACAAATGTTTGGACTAATCAATGCGATATGCTATTTAGTTAACCAAAATAATAAAGGGCTGTCCATTGGTCAAAGTTATCATATTTCGCATTAATCAATGAGATGAAACAGGGAATTAAGAAGATGAATATCAAAGCAGTCAAAATATTAAGTCTTTTTAAACCTATATACGAATGACATTTATGTGAACACTAGCGAAATAATTCCGAAAGTTCTGGTGAGAAGACGTGACTAGGGGAATTCAACCATTTTGAGTGTGAAACAGCTTCTCACTAACGGCACTGAAAGATTTTCGCGCAATATGATGAATGAACTAAGGTTAGACATGTAAAAAAGTTGGATGCCAGTCCTGTGATCTAAAGTTGAAGTGCTTGTTGAGAGACCTACAGACCCTGTGTTCGATCCCCAGTAGAGCCATGGATACAGATTGCTAAGTAGTTCAATAATAGGATAAGATTCCTACCCAATGCTTCCTAGTTTTAAATGGGTATCTAAGTAATATCGATCTGTGACAAAAACTATAAAATTAGTAACAATGATAGGAAAACTCAAACATCGAAAGTATGGCTTAAAAGGGGAACGAAATAGAAGAATAAAATGTATGATGCAATAACATTAAAATGTAAAATTTAAAGAACGGATAGAAAAAAGAATTTATCTCTGCCAGTAAGACTGATTTTTAGCTAATTAACTCGGCATCTCTTCAACTGTTAACAATAACTATCTCTTGAACCACAAACAGGAAATCTACGAGCTTTCAACATAAATTAGACATACAGTCAGTTGAAAACTCTACATTAACCAGAAAGTCTATTCCCTGAGAAGAGTATTAATATAAGAGCTACACGACAAATAAGAATTACAATGATTTTCGTCATGTAATCGATAGTGAAGAACAATGATACGATTACTTCTCTTGCTTTTTAAATAAAAGATAATACATACACATGTAATAGGAAGAAGAAGTAGTTATGTAATTTTTATATGAATAAACATGTGAAATGCATATGTTGACATGTTATTTCATGGATAACTACCTATTTATTTTTTGCTCAATTTTAACTACCTAACCTAATAATCACTTGAAAAAGTTTTAAGAATACTTGAATGCACATTAAGTAACTCAAACGAAAAAAACAAAATTCACATGAGAAAATTTTAAGTAGCTTATAAATAAGTAGAAAGAGATTGAGGGGTATAACTGGTATAACTTTTTTTAGAAAAAATGAATAAGTAACACGTTCAACGGTTACGTTTATGGTAAATGATACAATAGGACGAAACGGCCGTCCAGTGCTTCCAGGTTTTCCTTGGTGGTCTAGCTTCAATTGACTCACGCTTTCAACTATGAAAATACTAAATCTCCACGAAACCCCTTCTGAAATGATACAGTGTTTAATAAAAATGTTTATTGTTCTATTGATAGTAAAATTTCACTTGTGAAATAAAATGTTTTATAAAAGAAAGAAGTGGATACGTTAAGTTTTCATTGGTAAATACCTATTATCCAGAAACACAACTACACTTAAAATATATTTCCTTTTTTCAACATGAAGAATTATTTTTTTCAAATAAACAAAAAAGGTTAATTACATTTCTGATTTGTTTACCTTGTTCTTTAACGGCTAGAAAAGTTTCAATGAATGTCAACTTCTTGCTAAGTTTGTAGTATGTCATAGTAAAGACAATTCGAGATGTGGAAATAATTAAATAAATGTTATATGACATGTTGTAATACATGTACCGTTACCTGAACAAGTAATCCATTAGGTAATGGAAACTCCCTATAAACTGAAAGGCAAGGTTTATGTTAATGATCCGTTCAGCAATATAGATCAGTGTATCATCATACTTGATCTGATAGCTTGGTTACATTTTCGTACGTATAGGTGTCCACATACACATATATGAAATTTTATTGAGACGCCAGAAACACCATATAGTCACATTAACTTAATAACAAGTATAAAAATAACCGTCTAAAATGACTAAACGATATTCATTAAATGAGAGGGTATGAGTTTAGAAAAATGTGTAAACTTTATTACCTCATTTTCAGCTCCACTTAAAATCATCCATAAACTTCCCCGTTTTCCTTCAGGTAATCCATTTAAAACAAGGTGTTTAAGACGTTCATTTCGATACATTGACATACCAGAACCATACTCTTGAAAATATTCCTTCCAATCATCTAACCGTTTATTTTCAGCATCGGGATTATCTAATCTGAAAGGATTATTATAAGAATAACGACTAGCGAAGCATCCGGATCCACCTAATTGACAAACACATAAAAAAACAGTTCAATGAAAAAGGAGGATCCAAAAAACAACAACAACAAATCAAAATGACGAAGGTATTAAACACTGACTCTTTGCAGAGAACAAGATGATCTTAAGTTCAGCACATAATATTGGTCGCTTACATATATATATATATATATATATATATATATATATATATATATATATATATATATATATATATATAAAACCTATAAGTTACTTGTAGTTTGAATAGAATAGTTATTGCTAAACGTATTAAAGTGGAACTCCAAAAAAGATATGGGGTTATTCGGTGCTGAAGAAAAACAATATTACAGTACGCTAATAGGTACAGAAACTAAGTTAAAAACTATTTAGAGATAGTCTTTAGTTGTTTAACACTAAACAAATAAATATTACTATTGCTGTATTACTTGAACATCTTTTCATAGATTATTCACGGAGAGAATTTTATAATTGGTTTTTATCAGGTGACTGTTTTTCGGGAAGCCTTGACAAAGCCGAATTCATTTATTAAAGGGAAAAGAAATAAACGATGAGTGGAACAATGTGATTTACATATCTCGATGGAAATAATCTGACGCATAAATAATCATTTATAATCTTTGTGACAAATGTTTTAGTAAACAGTTTATGAACTGTATTTTATCGAAAAATTTATTCGTTTCATTTCACCTTTACATGTTATATTCCTTTCTGGACCAACTTGACTACCTGAAAACTGGCAACCATTCTACATATATGTTAAACTGTGTGACAGGATAAGTTTACTGCTTACTAAAAGTAAAAACTGTTGGAAGCAAACACGTAAAACAATAGAGTTCTGCAAATTTTCATTTACATGTACCCATAAGAGATTTCAGAATATGTATATTTGTAATGATAGAACACAACTAACGAGGATAGCCATAAACTTAAAAGTCGATTGTAGCTAATACACTCTAATTTTATGAAATGATCAGTAAATCCAGGCTATCACAATAAAAGTTATACGTGCATAAACCTATTGATTGGTATAATTCACAACAAAATATCACCTGATCACATGTTATGAATAACTTTCAATTAGCTTATGTAAATAAAACAGTAGTTATTCACAGTATAATTGTGATTACAAGCCCCTTTAAGAGGATCAATATTTCAGACCATATATCACTCCACACAACGGAAAAGTGATTAATATTAATTAAACGTGATGACTTGATAGAACTTAAATAAGAGATAAGGTGACTGGCAGTTCAACTATGAAGTTATATACAGATGACTACATTATATATACACTTTCGTAGATAATCGTCATAAGTCACTTTTTAAACTAATTTTTTGTAGTACAAAATTACTGAGTACGAATGAGTTTACCTGATGCTTAATTAAAGATAACCCAAAAATTAAGAACTTTATTTGTTGTAAAGTGTACTGATTAATAGAAATTTTGAAAAACTTGTCCTTTAAACTACTTATTTATATTCAGTAAAGAATGGATGGAATGTGACCAGTAGTGGAGTCGAGGACAAGCGTTCGTCCTATACGGGGGACTCGTTAGTTGGATTTACCTGTATCCTAGAGCTGATGTTCACTCCATGACTTGAACTCAGCACTGTTCGCTTCAAATACCATCGCCTCGTTCACTTAGCTACTAAGTCCACATAGCCCTGTGATCGTGCAACTGAAACTAATTACATTTCAGTGAAAATATGAACAATGGGATAATCTAATCCCATTTCAAATCGAATTATTATTTATGGGTTTTATTGAATGTACTAATCGTCAGTAAGTAGCTGGTTAGGCATTAATAAATCTATATACGTAAAGTAGCAAAAATGCTTGTACCAAGGTTAAGCGGAACATTATAACTAAATTCTTTGTTTAGTATTTACTACCCGAAAATTTAATATCAATGATTGATGTAATCTACGCAATGATGAATTATTTAAGGTGGATTATCAAAATACACTTAATTTTATCAAGTAGGAATGATGTCAACAACCAACTGAAAATGTCATAATAAGGTCATTACAAAACTAATTGACTACTTATTATAAAACAAAACAAAATATGGACCAAAAAGTGATAGTGAATAAATTCACTGATGAACTTAGAACTAGTAATAACTATTGTAGTGAAGTGTTGGTTGTCGTTTAAGATATATGGTTTATTATAAACTATAAATACAAAGTGTCCAGATTAATCGTTCATAACTTACTTGAAAAATCTAACTGACTAGTAGTATTCGATGAACTAATAACTGTTAGACTATTGTTAAACGAACTTGTTATTGAAGTTATGACATCTGAAGGTTCAGATTTAGTGCTGAAATGAATAAAAGCAAACAATCATTGTGATTCATAGAAATAGTAGACAAAATACATTATTATGAAGATTCATCGGTAAGATAGTAGTGAGCTGTTCGATTTTGTACGAAATTCAAGGCGCTGTGACAGTTAGCTTATGTCTTGATGAAATTTAAGTAAATTCCATCAATATTAGGGCTATTAAATTAATTAAAATTGGTAAACATAGGAAGAATAAAGAATAAGGATTGTGATTTATAGTTCTTACTTAGAGTCTATTGTTATTCAAAATCAAGGAACTAACTACATAAGTATTTATTCATTTGGGTTACAAAACACTTGTTTACTCGATTTCTTATAATTACTCCTAACAACTAACAGTACATTCCAATTTTTAAGTCTAAATAAAATTCCTAATCCTAAATCCGAACCCAACTCCCAACCCAAAATCTCTGGCAGAACTCTCAGTCCTTATTGGATTTTACGTAATTAGTTATTTATGTCACCTGTTTTCTTGTTGACTAAAAATCGGTTTTACCCTTTCAAGGTCATCTACGACTCAGATTTTTAAATAACCATCCCAGCTACAGCATAGAGTCACGAAGTCTTCACTTTGATTCTTTAGACTTCAGGAGGTAAGTAAACAATGTCTGATAGCTCCGATTCGTCGTTTTTATCAGTTTTCCTTTCTTTTTTGTTTATCTTAGCTTACTGCTATTGTTGATTTTTTCCTTGTTTCATTTTTTCTCATCTATCGATTACTTCAGGGTCAGCTAGCTCAACTGATACGACTTGAACGGATTCATTTACCTATTAGGTTAAAATAAAGTACAGTTAAAAAAGATAAGGTATTTCAGGCCCTGCTGAGTTTACAACCAAGAATGAAACACAAACTCAAGTGCAGATTACAAACTGATTGTACACTTTATTTAAACAAATACAACTTCAAACTTGTTCACATAATATATTAATTGGGTTTTCATAAAAAATGCTTTATGTGTAGTATTATTTAAGATAACTTAAATGTATTGAATGTCAATAAACATTTGTTTTTACCCTATCAGCAGGCCTTTATCAGACATTTTTTGTAATTTACTACTGAAAAATATTTTCAAACTAAAAAACTTATAAATTGAAACGATGATCTAACTATCCAAGAGTGAGTCAAAGACAAAAAGAAAATCTCTACTTAAAAAGAACTATGACTTATGAACGTACTCATCTAAGACCAAGAGAAAAGTGAATAAAACCATTGACTAAACTGTATAACAATTGCGCAAAATTATGAATTACAAGACGTTTAAACAATGTTACCTAGTAAACTGCATTTTAGTGATACGAAATTATGAAAGCTCAAAATAAGAAAATTTGACAGGAAGCACATTTTGAAATTCTGAAACTAAGAACTATAAATCCATTGCTTCGTGGTGTTGTTTCAGTTGTGTATGAATACAGTTAGGATAACAAAGTTTTGTAATATTGTAGTTAATAAGAGTTAATACAACTTCATCAAGATATAATGTTAAACTACTAAAGGAGACTGATCTATTGCAGTCTTAAACATCAATCGAAAGATCTAAACAGCTAATATCTATATGAATTAAAATTCACATCATTTCACAAGCCAATGGCTAAGTGAACGCGATGGCGTTTAGAGCCAACGGTACAGGGTTTGAGTCTCAAGATGAACATCAACTCTAGAATTCAAATCCGTTCAGCTGACGAATCCCGAATGGGACGAAACGTGCGTCCTGGATTTCACTGATGGCCACCATCCATCTCTGGCCTAAGATAATCTTTTACTAGTTATTATAAATGATTTTTTATAAGATGTACCTTACACCTTTTGTAATTAGGTGGGCTGTTCTCCATAAAGTACATCTTCATTATAAGTCTTCTTTATCTTTTATCTACATATGACTAGTTGACTTTAAAGTGTTGTATTATGTCAGTCACATGATCGATTCAGTTTACAAAGATCGTGTATCCTATTAGAAGAATCTTCAAATCATTCATAATTAGAAAGTACCGTGATCATTCCCAAAACCTATAACACTTAGTTACAATAGGAAAAAGTGCTTTTAATTGTGATACAAAAAAAGCTATACAAATAATGCCTACCCCTTCGATACTTCCAAATTGCTGCCAATTTTCTTGAGAATATCCTCGAATCCAACAATACCAGTAAATATATAAACAAGCTAAAAAAAAATAGTAAACATAATTTAAACGAAATTAACTAGACATAAAAATTTATGATTCATTAATATTAATTAACTCATGGTTTACCAGATACTTGGATATAGGGCCACGCTTTAAATGCAAGGGCTAATGATACTACCCTGTTGCTTAAACAGAAGTAGGGTTTGGACTTGAAATCTAAAGGTTAAAAGTTGGACACTCTAACCACTAAGCCACTACTGCACCAGAGTTTAGAAAAAAATCATAAATGTGACTCAGTAACCAAGTAAAGATTTTTGGCCTTAAGCGACATTTGTTTGATAATTAATTATACCAACCATTTACCAAGAAAGAGGAAGTGAAATCGAAATCTACTGGTTGAAAACCGAGTTCTTTAGCCAAAAAACAAGTTTGTCGTTTAAAAAAAATCTAAAATGGTCCTAATTCATTCAGTGAAAAACATTTGATAAATATATGCTTCATATTGTTTGTGTGAGATCCAATGATACGGTACAGCTATCCAAACACAGGCAGAGAGTTCGTACGCCCGGGAAGTATCACAGCTTTGACACAAGTCTATGATAACTGCTAATGGCCTCATTGTTATTGTGTGGCGCATATGTATTTGGTGCCCCCTTGTACCAATGTTTATGCGTTCAAATAAATAAATAGCCCGGACTTTGGACCTTATAGTTTAAAGTCAAATAGTAGAAATGCCTTCATCAGCTAGAAAAATTATAAAGTCATCCAAATACAGAAGTAACCAAAGTATCCCGATAAGCTGGACATGAGGCAATGAGAAAAATCTATACCATCACTTTTGAAAATTTATCTACATACAGTCGTTTCTGACAAACAGTAGCGTAAAATATCTACGTTATACGGCTTCAACTGAATATGAGTAAGACATGCAGTTTTGTGAACAGATATTTTATAGACTGAACAAATTAGTCCCGGAGAACAGTACTGTGATATTGTGCACTAAGATTCATTCTGTTTAGTTTTACAGATTCAAGGTAAGTGCTGAAAAGTATAAGGTACAATAATATCTCACATAAAACCTCCCAAGTGTATTTAAGATCACTGTAAGATATAAGTCGACTAACCCTATCATCAATCATTTATAGAATATGTTACCAGATTAATATCATATTGTTCTACAAAATTGTTTCTATTTTAAGGTGGTTCGATAGACAGAAATAAACAAATCAACTCCTACCACAAATGTGAATTACTCTGAATTGTCATATTTCTCATTAAAAGAGACTTAGAGGAAATTACCAGCCAGAAAGACAAAGAGAAAGTCATTATTATCGACAGTAGTGAAAACCTACAGATAGGAAAGTGATAATTTAGGATAAGAAAGTTAATTCACGGGTTTTCTCTAACTTAATATAATATTTCATAACATTAGTTTTATTCCTAGTGCAACAGTTAAACATTGTTTTTATTCGCAATATAACATTTTATTTAGTGTAGCATTGGGTTTTAGCTTCAGTATACGTTAGTCAATAAGATATTGGGGTTATAGCTTTTAATGATTTCGTAGCTGATATCAGTTCGTAGTGAGAACCATCTTCGAAATGCTTATAACAGGAGACAAATTTGATGTCGTAATGGTTTTTTTTGCAGGTGAATGGGTGTATCGAAATTATTCAGTGCTGTCTTATTGATCGGGACGCCAGAAAATCACTATTTACATTAACAATTAAACAGTAACTAACTTTTTCAGCTGTTATAATGATAACTCCTCCTGCGGAAGTTGAATCACTTTGTGGGAATGCTTCGGCCGAAATTATTTCACGTAGAGGAAGAATAATCTTAGTGCTCTCACCCTGGAAATTTTAAATTATAACAACACAACAGTTACTAAAAACATGAACTAAAAGCAATGAAGTTACATTTGTTCAAAATCTATATTAGAATGCATAGAAAACGTGAGTGAAAAAACATATTTTAATACATTCAAACAAATGCAGAACACTTGTTTACCTAGAAACTTGTGATACCAACTACCCATAAACTATACCCCGCCAGTTTTCGCTAAGTAATGAATAAGCCAAAACGCTCTACTAATATACTTATCAAATTAAATTGACTGTAGTTTATCGCATACAGACAAAAGGACTTATGGTGTTCGAATTACATTAACATAAGGTGCTGAGGATATAATTGTATAATGTAATATGTTTCAACATCATGATTGGTAGGTAAAACAACAAAAAGCTGAAGAGCTATAAAAAAGTAACCATGCGAATAGCACGGTATTGCAATCACAGTTGAAAAAACAGACATAGCTTTCTCTTAAAACTAATATTCATGCTCTTTTGATTACTGTAACTAAGTATCAGTAGAATTATTCAGGGGTTAAAAATTTCTTAGTCACGAACATAAATTTTTATTAATAATCTATCAAATATTTGAGCGATAAGAAATATTCCAAGAGTAAATTGAAAGACATGACTTTTTATAAGAAGGGTTTTTTTATCAGTTATATTTCTGTAAATGATGCTAATAAATAATGATAAAAGTCGAAGAATTAATCAAGCTTAGGAGGCTTAAGAAAGTTGTTTCATGCTATCCAGAGATCCTTTGTGATTTCTATGTATTTCTATGTATTCTTTAGTGAAAACAACACGTATGTCATCCAAAGATATGATTAACCAAACAATGAGTTGATACAAGTTTCGATCTAATCAGTTTTTGAAATGTGAATTTGTATTTTAAAGGCCAATATGTTTAAAGGAGTTAGATAGTTTTGGATCTAATCTAGAAGGGACATCATGGTCAAAAACTGCTGATGAGTTCTGGAGTAAGATTAAAAGCGAATTCTTAGTAACCAATGGTCTATAATAATTATTTCTCTAGTGCCTACTCACAATAATGAATCAGTCCATAATTTATCACGTCAAAGTGAATTGTGAATGCCAGTATTTTTTACAAAAACGGGAATGAACTAAAACAGACCACACAGATATTGAACCAATCCCTTTATCATTGTTAACAATATAACACCATTGTTTAGAGCATAATAAGTGTCAAAGAGGAAACAAATACATAATTCAGTGATAGATTATACTCTCCAGTCAAATCAGCTGGTTCCTCAATTTTTCAAATTATGATATACACACTGGACTACTGATTAACTGCTATCATAATTCATTCAAATTTATGATTTGACTGAACATTTGAAATGATATGTCAGTTATCATGATTATAAATGTCGTTTACTTATCGACTAGTGAATACAGCAGTCTTCTTCTACAGTTTCTTTCCTTATATCAATATAGGAATCTCGTTCCACTGTAGTCAGTAGTAGGTAGCAGGTAGTGGCTGTTCCACAGTTATGGTAGACAGCTGTATCAGTATCAGGAGTCACTATTTAATTCAGGTAATTACACTGTTACAAGTCATTACAAAAAGTCTAATTAATTGGAAATTCACTGAACAGATAAATAAACTAACCGATGAACAATAACAAATAAACTGAGGGGACAAAAACATTTTCCCAGAAATAGTTTCAGTATTATCCAACCGTTGCAGTTTACAATCAACAGAAGTTTCTATAATTTCATATGCAGGTAAATGAAACGAATCTTGGAAATGTTGACTACGGATTAGTACATCCAACTTATTCAATAAATTGGACGAGTTCTGAGTAAGTAAACTGATAAAAAAGAAATAGAGAATATCGATACTCGTGACTAAGTGATTTGATATGAAAGAAAATCATAAAACTTAGCATCTGTTACTTTAGCCTAGTTAAAATAGAAATTTTGAAGGATTTTTCACCTGAATACTATACTCAAAAAACTATTGAAAAGTTGAGTTCTGTTGTATTTTTCTAACTTAGCAAAGTTGAACTGTGGCTAGCAGTAGAATACAAGAAGTACGTCTCAGTTAAATGTACTTGCATTCCGGTTTTAATGTTCAGTTCGAGACTCAAACACAGTACTTCCCGCTCTAAATGATTAAATGATTATAAATTGAGAATTAATTTGTACATATTACATCATTCAGGAGAGCATTCATACGGCAATTTCAGTACAGCTGAAAACCAGTCACATAGAGCTTACTTATGAATATTTGTTTACCACCAACCGGATTCGCCTCAGTACTTTTTTTAAACCTTAACATTAACGTGTATTAACTTTGGAAAAGACGTTTTCTAACCTAACCTAATGTTCATAAGAATCGAGAATAGGTCACATTCGTGAATATCCGTTATATATATCCAGTTATTCTATTTTTCCAACCCACTTTCTTAGCATTATAAGACCTCACGGAACATACGTCGTGGCCAATACAATATGGTTGAGTCATTACGATGAGTAGATAGAACACCATATCAGAGCAGAAGTTAAAATATTATTTTACAACATACTAATAACTGAACTCGCATCTCAGGAGTAGCATTTCTGATCCACATATCAAATAGAATGCCTGAAACTTTGAGTTGCAATACAGTTCTTGAAACAGAAGACATGCAGTGTTGATGAAAACTTTGAAGCGTACTTGGAGAACTGAAGACACTTGGCTTTAAGTTGAAAAGTAAGTCTGAACTCATCTTCATGATCCTATACTGAAATAACTTTGAGTAATTACTGATATCCGTACAAATCGTAATTTATAAAACTACTTGCATAATAGAAATCGTTTAGGAGGGAGACAGTAATCAAACTAGTAATAAACAAATATTCAGATAAAATCGATATCTGGAAAATTCATTTCGTAACCTATTACAATCAGTTTTAACAAGTGAGTTTCCGGGTTATACGATTTCGTAATAGCTAAAGTATGTTCACCAAGGTTTTAAGGGTGTATTCATGAGTGATGTTCAAGATGTAAGGTATTTCAGTAACAAAGTACGCCTTGTGGAAACCACACAACAGAACCAAAGTATATAGATAAAGGATGTTAAGCAATTTTGTGAATTAGAAAACTTCTTCATTAATGATGCCACGTATACAGAAACATAAATAAATCAGTGCCCCTTTGTGTCAATAATTATGTGATCAAATAAATAAATAAATAAAATATATCGCTTACATTTTTAAATGTAAATCGAACTGCGACCAACTCGTATAACAATCGTCGACCAAGAGCCTGATGAATTTAGAAGGTAGAAAAGACTGAGTCTTTTTCCGAAACAAAAAATACGATGAGTGACAAGATCAACTTTACTTTAGAAAACCTTTTTTCATGGTGAAGTAGTCTAGGGTTGTTAAAGTTTAATTGTGTTTTATTTACTAGCCTAGGCAAGTGTGTAATTTATTGCATTGATCAGAATAAGTTCCATTTTCTCTATTATCACTTAAATTTGATTTAGTTAAAATTAAATTCAGGCAAATAACGAGCGAAAAAACCATAGTACAAACAACGTAGTATTAATCACTTACCTGTTAGACAATAGGTGGGAGTTTGCACGTAGATTGTTCAACTTCATCATAGACCTACTGCTGGGAATAACACTCTCGTCGACTGAATTTTCAGGAGGTCCACTTATCGACTTACAATACGCAGATGACATAGTCCTGTTTGGTGAAGACGCTGAAGCTGAATGCGTTTCTCCCCCTCTAAATGTAAATTGTTACTCCGGGACTGACCTGCGTCAACATCTGAACTAAGGATAGGGAGTAAAGTAGTCGAACGCGTCAACAACTTTACTTATCTTGGAAGTCTGATCAGCCCTAATAGGTTGGTGTCTGACGAAATCTCAGCGCAGATTCAGAAAGCTCGTTTGGCTTTTGCCAACGTAAGTCACTTAAGGCGAAGACGAGATATACGTCTATGAATTAAGGGACGAGTATACTGTGCAGCGTTTCGCTCTGTTCTACTTCACGGCTGCGAAAAGTGGCCATTAAAAGTAGAAGATACTCGTAGGTTACTAGTATTTGACCACAGATGCCTTAGAAATATTGCTCGCATCTGCTGGGATCACCGGGTAAGTAATAATGAGGTTAGACGCAGAGCATTGGGGAATGATGATAATTCAGTTGATGAGGTTGTGAATCTCCATCGACTAAGATAGTTGGGCCACATGTTACGTAAGCCCGAACACTGATTACCACTACGCGCAATGCTGACTAGTATTGGCGATGGTTGGAAGAGAGTTAGGGGCGGCCAAACCAAATCATGGCATCCGTGCCTGAAGTCACTAACCTCTATTCTGAGCCATGTTGGTAGATGTAGACTAGTTGGTTGGAGTCCGCGTCACTATCGTAACCAATGGTTGGAGACTCTGGGTGACATGGTTCAGAATCGATCACAATGGAGTAGGTGTATACACTTTTTGTCATCCCTTAAACTATGAGATTAAAATTGCTTCATATATTTCTTTCTTCATTTACTATATCCTTATATGCAATTTCTTTTATATCTTACCATCATTAAATTAACTATTTCTATGAATTTGGTGTTCATCTTGTTGTGCTAATGAGGTATGACAACTTGGACCGATGCATATATGTGCCTGGTCCTACGTTGTAGTTGACTGACTGTCAATCTTCAAAAGTTGATGCCGAAGTCTTACACATTGAAGTAACACTTCAGATTTCGAAAAGACAGTAGATCAATTATTACGATAATAAGCTAACCTATCATCCTTCATGGAGGATTATGATGAGGACAAACTTAAACACAAAAATGGAATAATAAATAAAAAAACTAGAACAATATAACGTTTTTCCAGGTATGTTCAGCATAAATTTAAACGTTCAACCTACTGTCTAACACCATAATTAGCCAATTGCAAAATCATATGGAGTGCTTCATCGGAACCTGCTGGGATAACAAAGCGATACTGAAAAATATTTAAAAGATAAGATCATTGAATAGTTGGCGAGAACAAAGTTCTAAGTAATTTGTTGTACAGCATTTCATCCTTTTAATGTCCCATTTTCATTTGGTGCTTGTTGTTTTGTGGGTTTTCTGTAGCTATCTAATGAGGCATCACTTCTGAGAGCTTTATAATTATCAAGTCACTTGTATTTAAGTTCGTTAGTGTATCTCGATTGGTGCACATTATCCACGAAATATATGCGTATTTACATATTTTTGGAGCACAATATGTTAAGACTATCTTTCAAAAGAACGGCTACCCAATCAACTTCATGAAAAATATCAAAGCAAAGAATCAGCAGGACCGAAATCAAGTAGAGAAGCCAACAAACGGATCATCATACCATATATAAAAGACATCAGAAATTACTGTTACGTCTGGCCGATTGTGAACGCTATACTCGCTTCCCTAAACTAGTTCCGTACCCCCGAGCTAGAACTATACACCGCGATTTGAAGACCAGAAAAAAGGCACAAAGTGTGAGGGAAGCACTTTACTGCAGGGTTCCTTTATGTACAGAAAATATGGGGATTTTATAGTAATTTAATGCATGTGGACATACATTCGACTAGGGAAACGTTGAAATCTTAGATAGAGAAAATACTAAAAGTACAGGGGAATTTTTAGAATCTTGGCACTCAGGTCAATCGGTGGCAATCAATAAACATACTGAAGTCGATCCAATTTATCAGCCAATCAGGAAAATCATGGACAAATATGAGTCCAAGAATCAAATCAATGAGAGATCAAGATCGAGATCAACAGGACAAGCTGAGAGTCATATGTGGAGAAATCCGAACGCTTCAATTCTACCTGAAGTTTGTGTTGTTGATGTCGTTTAGAAGAACGACCAAACCATCCAATTCAGAGAGCAAAACTCTACCTAAATATATTATCCGCTCATAACTTTCGGCAGCTGCAATGATTATTTAGTCAACTAATATGCGTTAGAATGCTTAACGTTCTTTACTCCAGGAGAGCTAGCGATAATTTTAAGAATTCACAAAAAAGCTTTTGACGGGACAGGGTCATCGTACCTCACTCACCTGAAAAACAATGCCCTGATATTGCATATGATTAATTATTAAGTTCAACCTCAGCCGAATTGTTAAGATTAGGGGAGGCGCTCACAACTCAGTCAGTCAGCTACAACTCAAATGATTATCATATAAATATTCTTCTATGACAGAAGTACAAGTAGCATACAGCAATACAAATAGGCTAATAATGCTACGCACTACAAGGCATATATATATATATATACTTGGCCGTTGATTAAGTACAGTAAGTAAAGATGTGAATAAACTACAAAGTACAGCAAACTATAAACAACACTAGAACATACAATACTTTTATCGAAATAGAACGGTCAATTCTCTAAATATTGAACAAAACTTACCGTCTGATTGCGTGTCTGTACACAAGTTTTGTACAATCGTGATTGAAAGACAGACTATAATACTGATATTAAGCAAAGATATGGACATACAGTAATGTGAATCCAAGGTGTGCATATTTTGGTGCCATATACATTCGGATAGAAGCATAAGTAATTCAAAGTTAGGATCATCCAACCTGGACGTGACTCCTTCCCACTGACAAGAAAACAAAAATAATCTACAAAGATTCGAGTTTCAAAAATGTCCATTCTTACGAATCACTTCTCTTTCCTTAAACGGAAAGTTGAATATTTGGCGAAGTTTTTCTGGCGTATAGTTACCACTTTCTAAAGATTATTCTATATAATCAACTCACTATCCTCCATTTTTTCAAGACGAAAATCTTTAGAATCTCCAATACATGGAAGAAAATATCAACCTCATTTTCTACAGCATAACAATTATTATTGAATATACAAATTCAATGAATTCTTGGGTGAAATGAACATTTGTTGGGTGTGGATTGTTTTTTAACTAAAAGAGATAGGTTTCACAATAGCTATAAACAGATGAAGCGTAAAACGAAAACATGGGGAGTAAAGCAGCGGATTTTGTAGTTCAAATGAAACCAATCAAAAAAGTATTAACATTCATTTGTGTTGCGACACTACCAGTGAAATGCATGATGAATAAACTCTACTGCGATTGTTGCAACTCCAATATTTACACTAACAGGGAAAACAATAGAAACTTTAAAGTGTATAATAATTTTACATTCAGTTCTACAGAACGCGACACCATGTATGTACCACGATTGAGTTCGATGTAAAACACCCACGGATTTTTTTCAGTCAACTAATAAACAAAATGTATATCAATGATATTTTGTAACTCGTCACATTCATTAAGTGAAAAACGTCTGAAAATCTGCTGTGCCGAAAAAAAATTGACTTGAGTTATGAGCTGTTGAGGGCTACAAAAGGAATATTTTTAGCTCATGCTATTTGTTTACAAAAGTATAGGTTTATGCACTCAATTGTGAACGACACATACTTCTCTACATGCTAATAACTTTATTTGGCTATGCAAGTCAGAATAAGTCCGAACCCCTATACATTTGTATAACAAGCTACTATTTTTCAGCTCCGAATTCAGTACGGTGAACGAGACGATTATGCTGTTTGTCCCTGATCCGTTGACTAGTGAGAAATCCAGTTTGAATGGAGGCTTTGTTAGTCAAAATCCCGAAAGAATAATGTCTGTAATCCAATTAATTAGTTATGCATCGATTACAGCACTTATGATTCGTGAACTGAATCACTGTCACTGAACACAAATCGTAGAGGAAAAAGCATTGCAAATCACAAAAACCAAATACAAATGGAATACACAGGAAGTTATTGAACAGGATTCATTTAAAATAGCTTGAGTCTGCGAAATGCATTGCAGTTGACTGAAGGAAAGTCACAGACCGAACTGAGAAATAAGGATTGACCTTTCTCTTTGTGTATTAAATTTAGGGACTATACATCAACAAACCAGAGATTAAATGGTTTGAAATAACGTTTCTCTACGTCATATTTTTGTTAATGTTGTATTGATATTTGAATGTGACTGTACATAATTTCTCCAATATCTCCAATACTGAAGTAAATTTGCTATGCATTTTGAAGAATGAAAGAAAGTTTAGGGATTAATATACATTACTGACTAACGTAAAGGCATGACCTGACAATACAACAGCCCTGCGAAATATTTCAACTACCTGAACGCGGGACTAAATGTGATTATTAAACCCTAGAAATTGTATTTGCTGTCAAGTTTGAAAACTATTGGGAACATAGTGACAAGCGAAGTAGCCAATCTGTAGCGTTGACGAAGCACGGCTTGAAAATAACGGAAACGAACACTATAGTTGCACGTACTTACAACATTTTGTTCGAATAAATAGGTGGTTTGGCTGTGGGAAATCTATACACGTATACGAAAGATACCAATTACTTAACGTGGAGAACTCTAAATTCACAAAATTTCAAAAGCTCACAAATATTAAAACACTCCAGTGAATTGAGTTTTGCAAGAAAGGACAAGTGTCCTACTCGATTTGTAAAGAAATATGCATAAAAGACTATTTATACGTTATATTTGGATAGAATAAAGGATCTTTTGACTTAGACATTTAAATAATATGGTGTTGGGTACGTTTGTTTTGATTGAAATTGAAATAATAGGCAAGATTGTTTATTAAAAACCTGATTCAGTTAAGAATGGTATGAGGGGACAACTACCAAAATACCAGTTGAGTAAAGACGCAACGCTTACATTTGAAACAAGAGCGACTCCAGATGACATAACATTGTTTCAATAACTGACTATAAGTGTAGTCTGTTAAAATGTTTGCTGCATTTGGCATATTGGGACCAGAATTTTGATGAAACGTGAAAGAAACCCTGCAAAATGAGCCCGTTTTAGAGGCTGCTCCGAAGCATCTATTGCAAATTTCCATCATCCTGACGTTTGTTCCGATGTTGTTCGTAAGAACAGTAAAAGTTTCACGAACAAAAAATTTAGCTCGGACGACGAATTCCCACTATTTACATACAATAATGAAATAACTGGTAACCACATTTAGCGATAACTCGTCAACATGCATTAACACTTTGTTTATGATTTAGTCAGTGATTTCGGATTCTGTTAACAGAAATTTATATTTTAACCCTATACGAGACATCGTAAAATAGTATTATCTACGACATGTTTTAGTTACCAGGCTCATAACAAACACGCGTCGCTTTACTTAAGAAGAGTATTTGGCTAAATTAAGTGGCACCTACAGTAATGTTCTACACAATTCCTGTATAAATTCAGAAAGCGGGCAGAAAAATTTATCAACGCCAATTGTTCAGTTTCAGTTTGTAAAGGACGGGAGGCTTGATGGCCTAATTTAGTCCTGGCAATGATGGTCTCTCAGCTGATCCAACTTTCTTTTGAAGGAGTGGACGGATGGAGCCTCAACCACGTGCTGAGGTAATGAATTCCACTCGTTGATGATTTGATGGGAAAGTCAGTATTCAGCTGACAAGTAATTCGTTCTGGGCTTGTGAACTTTTTTGGAGTGTCCTCGTAGATTTTCAGTTTTGGAAGACTAGAAAAATGAGGGCATATCAGGTGCAAATTTGTCATCAAGCAATTTGAAAACTGTAATCAAGTCGTCTCTGATTCTTCGATATGACAGCGGAAATAGGTTTAGCTTGGTCAGTCTAGTACCATACGGGATCTTCGCTATTCCGGGAATCAGCCTAGTTGCTGTTCTCTGAACCCTTTCCAGAGTTCACTGTCTTTTTTATGCAGGGGCTAGCTGCTTGTATGCGGTACTCAAGTTTAGGACATACGAACACTGTATACAAAGTCAGAAACTTATAAGCGTTGAGATGACTAAAAGCCCTGCGTATGGACTATAAAGTTCTAAAACCTTTGGCGGCTATTGCACCGCAGTGTGCATTAGTCTTTAAGTCTTGACTGACGATGACTCTTAAGTCATTGTGTGCCTGGACAATAAGTAACTCAGTGTTATTCATCGTGTATGTATCTGTACCCTGGTGGCCAATATGCATCACAATACACTTGGAAGTGTTTATCGGCAATTGCCAGGTTTGGGACCATTCAGATAATCTCTCCAGGTCATTTTGGAGTTCTAAGCTATCACCCTTGCTTTGTATCGCTCTCCATATCTTGACATCGTCAGCATAGAGTAAGACCGATGACGATAGTAGACGAGGGAGGTCATTTACGTACAGGAGGAATAACACTGGCTCCAAAACTGTACCCTGGGGTACTCAACTAAACACAGTTTCCCAGCTAGATAACTTGGGGTTCACCCTTACTGATTGCTGGCGCCCAACTAGGAAGTCTTTTATCTACATCAATAGATTGCCTCCAATCCCGACATTCCTTAGCTTATATAACAGCCGGTTGTGTGGGACTTTGTAGAAAGCTTTGCTGAAATCGATGTAAGCTACGTCTATAGGTAACTTTTGGTCCTTAAGAGAGCACCAGCTTTCACAAGCGACTAATAAGCTTGTGAGACAATAGTAACCTGTTCTAAAACTATGCTGCTTTTCCGAGAGGAACCGGTTTTCATCGAAATGCTTAAACATCTCCTTCCGAATAATCTTTTCTAAGATTTTAACAACCACGCTAGTTAGGCTAATAGGTCGGTAATTTTCAGGCTTATGTTTTGTACCTGTTTTGAAGACTTACATTATTTTTCTTCCTCACGTTACGTAATAATATATCAGTCCAGATGATAGCGGTGATACTTATCATGGATAGGACTGTTTACGACTGTATATTAATAGTTCATATCTTAATGTAGCACGTTGTATATTGATGTTCACTTGGAAGCACGAGCGATCTGAAACAACAACACTACAGTCAGGACCGGTAAGTGCCGTTGAAGTTAGAACACAGTGTACTGGAACAACAGATATATTTTTAAAACTGAAAGACACGAATCGAGTACAAAAGGGGAAACTTAGTACAAAAAAGTTTTATTCATTGTTCTGCTCGTTCAGATCGCGTAGGGCTTCTTCATCTTTTTCCGGTGCGTTTACTCTTTGTTGCCCTGCAATAGAAACGTCGCATGGAATGATTATTATAACCATTAAAAGGTTCATGAATAGTTTGACTCTCAATTGCTTCAATTACAATTTACAAACAACTACCAGCACCCATGTTCATCACTACCATAATAGGAGAGGCGAGTCATATGTAAATTATTTTACAGCTTGTTTTTGCTTGAAACTATAGTTTCGGTCCAATTTTCGACTCGATAAATGATAAATTTCACTTACCTGAGTTTGCATTGTTACAAATTACCAAATAAGGCTGACTAATCATTCTTTCAGGTTGTCAGCTCCAAATCCGTCAGGCAACCAATAGACTGCAATAAATGCCATGTAACACGCATAAATATTACAAAAATTAACATTTGACGGAAAAATGCTGTGATTAGCCGATAAAAAACAACATTAAAAATCCGCGACAACATGTAACGTATGAGCGAGAATCAATGACATGACTTTTCAACCATGCCGAGAATGTGTTCAGTCTATTGTTAAACAAGTCGCTTTTCTCATAACCTTCTGATTTTAGGAATTATAAACAATTTCTCTAATGAACCTCTCTTGCTAAATTTTGGTATTACGGTATGGTTGCAAAATACTAAAGCGTATGAAATTACAGGTGAAAAGTTGATTCGTTCTCATGTCGCGTTTGAGATTTTGATTCATTTACAAACATATTTTGTCGGTATTGAGTTTTTCAGCCTCGGGCTGTGAATTAGATATCGATATTCATTATTCAGGTTATCACTACCTTGTTTATCTATTTCCACTTGCGTTTTTGAAGCTTATCCCAATGATACAAGTAATCACAGTCGTTTCATAGAGCTTAGCTACTATTTGTGCTTTTGATTGTATTCTTATGGGGTTTCATGGTAAGCAGGCATCTAGTGGCATGGTTCGATATATTTGTGAAGCGAAATTATTATGGGACATGTGGCAAATCGATACTAAGCCAACATTTAAGAGGATACCATGTAGAAACTACCTCTTAATAATAGAATTCTCAAAACTGACTTTACGTGGTAAGTCAGAGGAAGGAGAGTTTGCATAATTGTACCAGGAAGGTGACCAATTACGTCCCATCGAAAACTTAGATCATATATTCCAGTTAAATTTTCGAATATCCAAATGTCCAACCGTTGATCCAACTTGCAGAGTTTATTGTCACTGGTAACGAAATGAACACTCGCTCTACAAAACGACTCGTTGCGTCCAGTTTTGCCACACTTGAAGCATGTATCATGACAAGGTGCACATGATTTGCGTGAATTATATTTTCCACATGGTAATCAATTACCAAACTCAGGCTCACATCTGTATAATCATTTGCAATTCTTCAGTGAATGGTTTTTCATGTTTTCACAAGAACTTAGATCGTCGTTAATTAAACCCGTATACGTGTAACCTTGATTCGTACAACTAACTAGTGTAGCAGAATTCGATGTACTCCTCGAATGCCTTTTTATTTGAATGTATATCCAACTGTTCAGTCACAGATTCCAGTGTGACGCAAATATGGTAATTAGAACATTAAATAGGAATAATACATATTTGTAAAATCTCAGCTAATGAATTTGTAGTAAATCCAATTCATTCGATGATATTTTACAAATATATATTATTCCTATTTAATGTCTTACATCATTTCGGCGCTCAAAATACTGTGAAACTATTCGCTCTAATTTAGACGAGAGTTCTTATATATGGTAATTAGAAGTAGTCAAATCGATGTGGAAACTTAGAGTGTAATCTCAGGTAGATGGGACTAGATGAGGACGACTGCATGTATTTTATCTGTAATCGTCATGAGAGCGTAATGAAGTGTAAATGAATCGTGAATCAGTTCAAGTGCCACAATGATATCTTAGAAGCTTTTTTATGAAGTACCTATTTATCTGGTAATCAAATTCTGTTGTTTTATCGACGTATAAATACTTCGGACACGCTAATTGACAGTCTGTACAGTTTGAATCCATTTCAATACATTGCAGATTAGACCAGTCTGTATTGCCTATTATGTCTGTGAATGCATTAAATTCTAATAAGTCTTTTGCTGAGATCATACTACCTGCTTACACATCGAAAAACCTGCGACGTAAACCGGCGGTCTAGCGACTCGCGCATGCGCATGAGTTGTCAGTCTCTTGTAGACTGATAGCTCCACAGTAGTGACTACCTCAACGCTAGCGAAGTTTGGCAATGCAACCATAGACATAGGTTTGGAGTTATACTCCCGTTCAAAGGAACTTATGTTCTCGATATGCAACTTATGTTCATTCACCGCATTTGCGCGTAGCAATCATCGTTTTCCATTTTGCAGTGACATTCGTAACCGAAGTTCAGTTATTGTTTTTTTATCATCGATGAACCTTACCATCACTTTCATATATGCCTCGAATATTCAACGTCACTTCATTAAACTTTATGTTCTTCTTATCTATTTCTTCACATGTATGACTGCATTTTACACCATTAATTACTCATACACAATACTTCATTGCTTACATTAATATTAATATTAATGTAATGCAGAACACAGAGTTTGAAGCTAGTTTCCTAATGATGCACTCACGTTCGTCATATCCAAGTCAGTTTCACCCACCTGTTATGAACAATAATATGTATTGGTATCTTTATCATGCCTAAGTACGGCTTCACAACAAACGAGGTCGAGTGCATATCTCTCAGATGACATAAACTACACTA